TTACTTACTATATATATATATATATATATATATATATATATAGTAACGAAAGTTTATATAGAGTCGAGGCTGTAAACAATCAAATTAGAGCCCACCTCAAAAAGTTCACTCAAAGAGGTTGTTTTGATGCCCAAATATCATCTCGACATCAAGATGCATGGACATGAGAAAAAAATGGATTTCAAGTTTGGGAAATAGTGCATCTTGTAACGCATTTTTGGATCGTCAATTTTCAAGATTTTCAAGTTTTCATAGATCTGCTCGATCTACACTATTTTTGAAGCTTTGAATTTTATAATTAAAGATGAAAACATATTTTGAGGCCATCACAAAGATTTCCAGTATTGAAACCATATTTCTTGACACTATTTGAAGGTGCGCTTTACTTTGATTGTTTAGAGCCTCGGCTCTATACAAACCGCACCCTATATATATATATATATATATCATAGCCTTTTTCCAACTATTTGGGGTCGGCTACGTGAATCCTGTTCTGCCATTCTGTTCTATCAAGGGCCATACCCTCTGTGAGGCCATAAGTCCATGCATCTTTTCTCACTACTTCCAACCATGTCTTTTTGGGCCAACCCTTGTCCAGTTTGAGCTTTCTACTTGAACCAACTCGCACCTCCTAACAGGTACTGTACTGGATCTTCGCTGTACATGTCCAACCCACCTAAGTCAACGTTCTCTCATCTTATTGCCTATTGGAGCCACACCTGAGTTTTTTCAAATGTATTCATTTCGAATTCTATCCCTTTTTGTCTTGCCACTCATCCATCGCAACATCCTCATCTCAGCTATATTCATCCTATGGGTATGTTGTTTCTTGACCGCCCAACATTCCACCCCATAACATAGTGGTAATCTCACAGTTGTCCTATAAAACTTCCCCTTTAGCTTCATTGGTATGCGGCAATTACATAAAACTCCGGTTGCATATCTCCACCTCACCCACCTAGCTCTAATTCTATGTGCAACATCTTCCTTAATTTTTCCATTTTCTTGTTGTCGACCGAAGATATCGAAAGTGCACTCTTTTTGGCATTTTTTGGCTGTCAATCTTAACTACTTCCACGTCTTTATACCTAAGATTACTAAACCATTACGTCTATGCCTAGAACTGTTGCCCAATTTGAGGGAATACATGTGGGGGAGGATACCAAAGGAAAGATAATGTTCCCACAAAAACATAAAACCTTCTGTAGTCCACATTCCTAATGCACAACGTGGACTCTAGTCTGTCGATCTCCAAAGGCTCTTGAGCCTTCCTATGGGAACATCAGCTCTAGCAGACAGGACCACATATCCATCGACTTTGGAGAGGGAGGCGGCCTCCAGTTTTCCCTTATTTTCTGGAGAAAAGTTGCAACATGATTTCTTTGTGCGCATTTTACTATAAAAGCTCTCATATCTTCCTTACCTTCCGGTGCCTCTCCAAACCATGAATGGATCTAGAGATCATGGCCTCTCTTAAAGAGAGCAATACATTCAGGATCCCCATAAAGAGTGATAGTTGAATGTACTCTTTTCATTTATAAATATGTAAGTGTTAAGAAAGTACAAAGAAGAGAAGAAGAGTTTATTTTGGTTTTTATGAAAAGATCTTTTTGGGATGGACTCCTCAGGTTTGGGATGGACTCCCCTACAGAACCTGAGGAGATTTATACTATTCCACCCCTTGTTTTTTAGTTTTATTTTTTCTAGTTTGTTTATTACCTTTCCCCTCTTCCCTACATCAAATATCCAAACCTGCCTATATTGTGAGTCTTTTGAACGAAACCCTAGCCATGACTACCTATTCCATGACGCCCTTCCTACTCTGCACCTAAATTCCTAATCCTATCTTCAAAACTTAACCCTTCTGTTTGAAGCCAACCTTAGCCTTTCTGTGCCAACCAAAGAGTATAAGGCTATCATTAGGAAAATTTATTAGTCATGCATTAAACAACATGCGCAATATCGAGCGTAGTAATTGTACTTGGTGCTAGGCTGCCTACAATAATGTAGTGGTAGTAGTAGTGCATTGTTAGATCTAGATTTAGGTCATCAATCTTTAAGTACTTAATGTTGAAACTATTACTATCAAGTATCAACCACTTTGTATTTTATAAAATTGTCGCAATATAAAACGGAGTTATGTGGACTAAGAACATAATCTTTCTCTGGACATGATATATCATTGCCCGGTACTATGGAATTTATTTATATTGTTCATTTGAAACTTGGCCTCACACTGAGCTACCTTAGGATAGAAAACCATATCAGAATAGTGAAGACAAACTTTTTTTAATTTACACTACTAATCTGTTTTCATATGTTGTACTTTTGAATTTCTTAAACGAATATCCCGAGCCAGTTTGGGATTACAAGTAGCCCTACACAACTGGCTAATAAGAGAGTGGTATGTTCTCCTATTGTGGTTTGTTTGGTAAAAAGCTTCCCTTTATTGAATTTTGTTTGTTTGGTAAAATGCTTAGTTTTGCCAATATTTAGGAACAGTTCATTTTAGTACCTTGGACAATTGGATACGTTTGGAACTAAAAATAGTAAATTGTAACGTTAATGAATAGTGAAATGAAACATAGGACTTTAAAATCGATATTTTATTGGAATTTGAATATCGGATTACTATGGAAATTCTTCATCACTATTAAATGACAATTTCCCAACTGCATAAACACTAGAAGAATCAGTGGTCTAACAGTGGCTTAATGTGGTGAAATCAATCTTCATGATGAGAAATGCACCCCTATTTGTTCCTCACATTCAAAAGCCTAAATCGTGATGCTTATATCATTTTAATATGCACAATCCTCACTTCTTTTCCCACTGCAAAGCATGTGATATCATGTTGTGGTAATTTATATTTTTATATCATCTTTGATTGGTGCTTCTTTACAAAAGATATCTCATTATGCTCATGACTTCTTTTCACCTTTCTATATTTCAGATGGGGTGGATCAAGTAGGCCTGATTTCACTTGTAAAAGTACTGAAGGTTAGTTTTCCGCATGGTTTTGCGTGAAAGATTAGTTGCATGCATGTTTTCTTTTCATAGGGTTCTTTATCTTCTTTCAATCTAGGTTGTTCTATATCTATAACAGATCCCGCCCATTGAATCTGGTTGTAAAGAGAGAGAGAGAGTGTGCTTTCTTTCAAACTTATGATGATTGTTTCCATGTTTTAGGCCATTCGTTTGCAAATTCCTCTCTTTTTCTTTTTTCTTTTTTTTTTTTCTGCAAGAATTTACCATGTTCTTTCTCCAATGTTTATGTTAACCGATGTGATACAGATTTCTAGTTCATTATTTAATTAATGTGTTATCTAGTTCATTTTAATCTTAGAGGCATGCATTTGTTTGGAGAAATGATTTCATAGAACAAACTGTCATCAGCAATCCATCGAGGTTCATGGAGTCTACTTAACCTAGGGAGTTGGGATATAAATTGCTGGATTCATGTGATATTGGACAAAGTGCTGAAAACTGTGCAAAGTTTCTTTGCTAATCCACTTAATACATCCAAGATATGAGCAAATACTCCTCTCCATGATAGAGTTTCCTTCCTCCTAAGCTATTTTTTCATTTTTATGTTGACTTCTCCAATTTGCAAATGTTTTGAGAAACTTGCCGGGTGGATTCGGATTCCCACTGATAAAGGTTGGGATTCATCCTTTGTGAAAACCTCCTTGCCCAAGGTACTCTCATTTGAAATGGTTGAGGTTGCTTTGCAAAGCACTCTTTTACAGTGATGCTGGAGTCGTGTTACCAAAGTTGTGTGGATGAAGGCCTAGAGACACCTTATTGATTGGTTGGCAATTGTGAGGCCTCCACGCATCAAAGTCTTGATCTGGTTCCAAATTATAGGAAGAAAGGAAGTGATTGGTGATCTTTGGGCTCTGCTATTTCTGGTGGTTGCATATGGTTTATTTCTATTTGTTGGTTTTTCTCATGTTGTTCCATTAGTTGGGGGGGGGGGGGGGGGGGGGGTTTGATTTACAGTTCAGCATACTATGATTTTCGGAAGAGTGCTGGTTGCACATGGTTGGTTATGCCCATTGAATGAAAGAAGGCCTATCCGCCAATTTACTTCCGAAGATGTCTTCTTTCTCCAAGTTCCTCTGTCAAACTTTTTTTCAAGAGGATGCATATTCCACCAAGTTGGTTATGCTAATTGAATTTTGAAAGGATGCTTATCTTCCAGTTTACTCCGCAAATTTTCTTTGTTCTCTATACGCTTGGTCAACTTATTCTCGTCCATTTTACGCAGGTTATTTCATCTGCAATAACTAATGTGGAAAATCATAAGGTTTAACAAATTGTGATTATATTATGCAGGCCATTTTGCAAAGTGTCTAAAGGGCTTAATTATTTGAGACGTACTTTGTCATAGCGTGACAAAATTTATAAAAAAGATAATGCACGGTGATTATATATCTATGCTACCCATATTTGCATTCATTTATTAAATATCTTTCTCCTGAAGGACTTGAAAAAGCAATTGATGTAATTGAGAAATACTTAGATGCCATGGATTAGACTTGCATCTTGTTTTCTCAAGTTATTGATGCCACTCTTACACAGATGTCTAGTTAGCTCAAGTTTATTACTGTCTTCTTCTTGTAGATCTTACATGCCAGACTAACCAACAATTAGTTTGCAGTTGATGGAAAAAAATTTGGTTGCAAGAGTTAGTGGGCATAGTCTCTCTCTCTCTCTCTCTCTCCCTCTCACACACACACACACGCACACCCACACGTGCATGGAAAACACACACAAATGTTACACTTCCATTTACTAATGGATACATTAGATACCCTAGCTTAGTTAATGAGGCCTGCTGGAATTGATTTGAAGCTCCCTTCCTGTTTTGTCAGAACTGTCTTGCGAAGTCACATTTTCCATTTTACGATTGGTTGCTTCGCTGAATTTATGTACACCCTGGTGAACATTTTCCGTTTGTCTCTGTCTTTGGTTGTAGGATCTGAGGAATGTTTTGTGATATCACTTGATCACCAATCTATTGTTCATAGTCTCTATTATTCTTCCTCATAATGTTTGTGCAGAAACAGAGGCATGGTTTGTAGATTCATTTGAGGAATGGCGCAAGGCCAAAAATCTCAATAATTTCATTTTACTTGGACATTCTTTTGGAGGCTATGTCGCTGCAAAGTATGCCATTAAGGTGATTGAAATGTCCGAATGATTCATGATGGATTTTTCTAGTGGTACTTATGCTTATGTAAGTTATGTATCTTGACTTGGATGGACATGCTTGCAGCATCCTGAACATGTTCAACACCTGATTCTGGTGGGTCCTGCTGGATTTTCATCTGAATCAGATGCTGCTAAGTCAGAGTGGTTGACAAAATTTCGAGCAACATGGAAAGGGACTATCTTAAACCATCTTTGGGAGTCCAACTTTACTCCTCAAAAAGTTATCAGGTAATTATAGCATCTACCTCTCTATGTATGTCTTAAATTGATTTTTTTAACTAGAGAAGAAACTGCATGATACTCTGCTGCATAGCATATCCAGAACTCTAGAACACATCCGTTGATATCCATTAAAGCTCTAATGTTTTTTTCATGATTGAACACATAATTGACATTTCCGAGTCATAGTTTCTGGGACATACGAAGTGTCGTTTTGTTAAAGCTGTCTTTCTTAGTTTTGAAAGTGACTCTCTTGTTTTCTTATGAAACTGAGTTTCCTGACCACTATCCTTTGATAGTTTATCGCCTTCCAGAATTCAGATTATTCAACATTCTTTCCATTTATTTACTAAATGATGTAATCTCATCCTTATTTGCTTAGATAGTGCTTCATTTGCCACCTTGATGGATTTGCGCTCTTACCACTTCTGCAGCAGGACTCCATTGCGAAAAGCACAGTAGGAAATAAAAGCCCATGAGTTCTTTTCTTTCTGTTGCTAAGCATGGCTGGAAGCAGTGTTTCCAATACCAATCCAATTGTAATTCTAGTTGACAAGCAGTTGTCCATTGACCATTAACACACATTTGACCATACTGGATCTTTATTGCATGAGAATCCCTCCCAGATACAGAATAAATGTTTTTTAGCAGTTTGGATTCTTAAGTGGTATTCAGTTGTCATATGCCATGCTTTGATTAGGTAATTGCTTTAAGGTCTCTTCTTAGTTCTGCTCTTGTTTGTTTCAAATATGTTGTGCAACATTTTAGACCGTTGGTCCTGCTGTGAGAAGCACCAATTGCTAAACCAATGGCCCATAATCACAAGTTAAAGAATGAACAACATTAGTTAATTTGTAGCCATTATTATGGGACATATTTACATCTAAAATTTTGAGAGTGGACGAATTTCTAGTAGGTTTACCTCCAAGTCTTGCTTTCTTTAATTGAATATTATAATAGGAACAGTCATGCTTAGAGTTTTAGAAAAGCTTGAGCCTTGAGCCAACACCTAGGAGCTACCTCTAGTTTGAGGTGGTTGAAATTTTAAAAAATAAGGGATATAATAATATATATGTTATTTTTCTAATCAAACAGCCACCAAGTCATTGGCTGCCGCTTAGGTGGGGAGCCTAGACCGTCAAGGCAGCCCCTAAGTACCTGCTCAGGGCAGGCTGCCCCAGGCAGAGGCGGGGGCAGGTTCGGTCTTATCCGCCTCAAGACAGCACCTAGGCAGCTGCGTTTTAAAACTTCCTTGTCATGAGATGGAATATGAGTTGGATGTGTTGAGTGAGTTTTCCCTTCTTTGATAGGTATTCTTGAGGTTAAGCCTGATGCTAGCTCCCTAGATTGTCTGTTTTATTTGTTTGGTTAGCTGTATTAAAAGGCAGTCATCTTAGGCTGCCGGGATCAAATCCGGGCCCCTAGGCCAAGGAGACCTGCCTTGGGTGGGCCCACCCTGAAGCAGATGCTTAGGGGCAGCCCTGGCCTCCTAGGTGTTAGAGCGCTTAGGCAGCCACCCCGACAGCCTAGGCGGCCACTTTGGCTGCCAACATTGGCACCTCTCGAGGTGGCTAAGGCAGTGCCGAGGCAGTCAGGACCACCTAGACACCTAGGCTGTTCATGCCTTGTAAACGCTGTTGGTTAGTTTCTATTTTTTTGTGATAATATGTTGTTTCCATTAAATTTTCCTCTCCCAAATGAGGAGAACTAGAAGGCGGCTGCTTTTATCCCTGAAAAGAAAACTTATTTCTTAGTATGAACCAGTGTTTTAAAACTGAGGGCGTCTAAGAGTTACTCGGAACTGGTTCCTTACCAGTTCCAGATGAGCCAGACTCGGATGATAGAACCTGATCAAAATCTGCCTAGTCTACCCGAGCCTGTCCGAATCTTCGTAAAATCCAGCATTATTTTCAAAATGTATGGGTTTTCTAAGTAAACTTGTCCCGGGCAATGGCCAAGTCGAGGAGTGAGTTCCTCGGTTTAAAATAGTGAAGGAAGTGAACAATTTCTTTGGGAAATTATTGAAAAATAAATGCCCCTAGGACATGTCTAGGTACAGACTGGGCCAACTGGCTCAATCCTTCTGGGGGCATTTTTTGTTATATTACATCACGATTTTTCTAAAGAACTCTTTGATTACTTCCAAGCACCCAAAGGCAAGCCGTGGCCCGTGGGAAACCTAAAAGTGTAAAATGTTGCAAATAGCTTCATAAAACATCAAATTACCTAGACTTTTAGTTAGTTTCTCGTGCTAAAAATCACAAGGCAAGAAAAACTAAATTGAAAGTGCAAACTCCATAGATAATCTTAACCAAAATGTCTAGATTATGATCACCAGAGTGGATAGGGATCCGCAATAGGCACAAATGACAACTTGTCTGTACTGGTGGGAGATATTGATAGAGAAAAACTCTAGGTGCTTGTAATTTAATTCCTTCCCACCAGTGTTGTAATGACTCCAAAGTACCAATGATTCCACTTAATTGGATTGATAATTTGACCAAGAACTAGTCCAGTTTATCTTTAAAAAGAAATAAATCATCATCATTATCGTCCGAGCCTTATCCCAATTACTTGGGATCGGCTACACAAATCTTGTTCCGACATTCTGCTCTATCAATGGTCATACTTTATTCAGATTATAAATCACCATATCTCTTCTCACTACTTCCATCCATATCTTTTTGGGCCCTTCCCTTGCCCTTTTAAAGACTTTTACTTGGACAAAATGACCTCTCATAATTGTTGTTGTATTAGATCTACACTGCACATGGCCAACCCACCTAAGTCTACTTTCCCTCATCTTATCGCCTATTGAAGCCACCCCTAAGTTCCCTTGTATGTTTTCATTCCGAATTCTATCCTTTATTGTCTTGCCACTCATCCATCTCAACATTTTCATCTGAGCTGATGAATAAATAAATAAATAATAAATAAAGAGGAAGGAAAACGAGTTGCACAAGCTACTTCAACTAGCATTTGTAAGGTCCTTTAACTGCTCTCTTATTGCTCTCTATTCCCACCAGCATTAGCTTGAAAATATGGCCTATCTCGGCCACTTCGGAAGGGACAGGTATTTTGTTTGCTTAGCTATACTAGACAAAGCACTCACTGTTAGCCATCTTAGAAACCATAGTGTGTCTACCCATAACAGGTATATCTTGTATGGAGAAGATGAGGAGATATTCGTCACCTATTTTATTTCTTCATTGCAAATTAGTTGAGACTATTTGGTCCTTTTCACCAACTATTTTTGGCCCCAAGTCAGTCTGTCCACTGACTGTTACATGCCTTTCTTGACAATGGGCTCCTCCCATTCCAAAAATGGGCACTCTGGAGATTGGGATTACTTGCAGTCCTATGGTTACTTGGTTAGAAGACCTGGAAGGAACTTCAACGGAAAATACTCTTGTAGAGCCAAAATAAAAAAACAAGTTTTAATGTCTCATATTATGGTTTGGCACTAACATGGAAAGAGTTTTGGGGATTTGCAGTGCACACATAGAGACCTAGAGATCCACTGGAGAAGAACAGCATGGACATCAAATCGTGAAAAAAACCACAGCCAAAATGGGATCATCACACCACCACCAAAGGCCTATCTTATAGTGTTTACTGAGTTTCCTTCAACAATGAGAGGACCTCACTCAAAGTTGTATATCCTGGGACCAGCAAGTAGTGCACAAGCTTCAGCTTCATTTGCGTTACATGTTGCCATCAGGTTGGAATACATACACAAACTTTCATCCGGGTGACTCCAAAATATCTAAAATTCTGGATCACCTAATGTTTCAAAATGGAGAAATGCAAATGGGTGCATTTGAGAGAAATACTGAAGTCTTGTGCTTAGCAGAAAATTCTGTATGTCTGGTTGAACAAACTGAATACTAATGCAACTTGGCATGTTTTAGTAGTTGCTGTGAATTCATAATTTCATATCATGAACAAGCTTCATGTGCCCCTTGATAGCTACATCTAATCATGAATTTGAATTTCTTTTATTTGATTTGTTTTCTTAGATACCTAACAAATTTTTTGGACTTGTCTCTTGCATGATGTTCATCTCATAGTTGTTGGGATCAGGAGAAGGATGTGGAGCAGGATTGGGAGGGGAGGATCATGAAAGGCTAGAAAATCCCTATGGTTGGGAGCGCTGACTGTACTATGCATATTTAGGAATCAAGATCCCAAAGTTCGGAGTCTCGTTCCCAACCTTTTGGGATCTTGCTACCAACCTTAAAGAGTATATGTAGTATATTACTATATATACTCTTTAAAGCAGGGATCTTTTTATTCAACGAATGATGCATCTGTAATAAAAGTATTGCATTTCTAGTTGGTTATAAATGAAGGAAATCATCTGGTTGTTATCTTGGTCATTTAAGGTAGGAACCGAGATCCCAAATACTGGGGATTGAGATCCCTTGAAAATCCCTTTCTCAGATCCCCAGAGCAAGATTCTAGAGTAGGATCACCAAATAGATTTGGAGATCACCACCTACTATGGTCCATCCATATCATACACGAAATAAATAGATGGTTGTTCGTAAACATGTGTTAAAAAACGTTTTCTAGTTGGGAATTAATGTTAATGATTACTATTACTTTGCAAATCAGCTTTGCTTTGGTTGGCACCTTAAATGCTTGCTCTTTCTTTTTGGGCTCCATTGGCTATGCAAAGTTTAGCATGGAAGTATGTTGTATGTGAAATGTTCAAACTACATCAGATGTCCTCCATGTACAATTTTTTCAAATGGCTATTTTTGTGCAGAGGGTTAGGTCCATGGGGCCCAGATCTTGTTCGAAGATATACTAGTGCTAGATTTGGTATGTATTCAACTGGTGAAGTTCTTGGTGAGGAGGAATCTCGACTGCTTACAGGTACTTGGCCAATCACACTCAAACACTTTATTTATTCTTGTCTATACTTCAGCTTTTTCCCATGCTTTTTTTTCTTACCCTATGTTCGGATTCTACAGATTATGCGTATCATACTTTAGCTGCCAAAGCCAGTGGGGAGCTGTGCTTAAAATATATATTTTCTTTTGGAGCATTTGCAAGAAAACCTCTTCTTCAAAGGTCAGCAGTTGTTTAGTTTGTCTTGTCCCTGTAAGTCATGCCTAGGAATATTGGGATCATGTGAACCCTTGGTATTCCCAGCCTACCATATGGTGGCTCCTATACTTCAGAAAATTCGGTATGTTCCTTATGTTATTAGATTCCCTTCACTGATGGCATTGATGCATCTATCTATGCAGTGCATCAGAATGGAAGGTACCCACCACTTTTATATATGGAGTCCAAGACTGGATGAACTACCAAGGGGCACAGGAAGCACGTCAGAATATGAAGGTGCCATGTGAAATTATAAGGGTTCCCCAGGTCAAATTATCTCACCTGTTTCTTCATCTCTCTTGCAAACTCAGAACTTATTGCTTTTTCCATTTCCAATTTTGGTTTTGTACATTGGGTTTAGACATGTAACTTGGTGTGGAAGACTGAGAGTCCAAATCGGTAATTTTATCCCCCCCAACAAAGAAAAGTATCTACAAATCAATAGGTTATGTAGTGAAAGCCAAGTTCTGTTTCTAACCCACTGATAGATTTATTTCACAACTACTGCAGGCTGGTCATTTTGCGTTCATAGATAATCCATCGGCATTCCATTCTGCTGTTTTCTATGGTTGTCGCCGATTTCTTTCACGCAACCCAGTTGGTGAAGCTTTTCCAAAAGGCCTCGTATCTGCTTAGGTCAGACTGGTTTGCAACCCCTTCTTTGTATTTAACCAATTTTCCTGGGCCTCATGGCTTTTTGCTCCACTCTAGTTCTTGCAGCCTTAAGGCGTTGGGCAATAGCAATTCATGTAGCTTATTTAGAATGATTGGGGATTCAATTATACAAGTGTTATTGATATCAGGCCCCATATTGGATATGGGGAAATGACGAAAAACAATCAGCATTGTTTGAATATATGTTCAGAAAAATGGGATGAAACATTGAATTGGTGGGATGTGGGTGTGGATGGAGTGGCCGCTAACTGTTCGGATCAAGTTGCAACCACTTTCTGGAAATTTGGTTTTTGTTTCGATATATTGATTACCCATTGCATGTGATCATGGGAAATTGATGGTTGATACGAGCTGTTCTGCTGAAGTCCAATAATGTTTGCTAAAGTTGAAGGACTGCTCATTTCCACCATCCTTTGTTGATTATGAACATAATGTATCGCACTTCTCTTGTCACATCTATAATTTGTCGTTTTTTTTTCCTTTTAAATGTGAATATGCAATCCCTATAATTATTTCTTTGTTTGCCTGGTACACGACAAGCTTACTCATACAAGCATCAAAATTCACATTAAACCAATAATAAAAAAGAAAAGAAAAAAAAGAGAATAGACAAAAAAAAAAGAAGTAAAAGTCTCTACACTGGAAACGACCCAAAGATGCCATTTTTGTAGGGCCTAGGTTTTATGAAAAAAATACTATAAGCCTCACCTAGAATCCGGAAAGCACTTTTGAGATGGAAAAATAGCTCTAAAAATACAACTTCCAATACCGACTATAAATTTAGAAGCTTAAAAAACAGTAGAAATCTTACGGATTCATGAAAACTAATATTTAGGTCAAGATCGATGATGTCCATAATTTAACACTATTTTTGTTGAGGGCTTTGAAATTTTATTTTATTTTATTTTTGACAAGGATCAAAGCCGCAATAATCGGTTTGCATAAACCAAAACTGGGAGAGGGAAGAACAAATTAATCGGAAAAGGCCCCTGCAGATTAGGTCATGCAAGTCGGGACAAAAAATAAAAACTAGAAAGGGGAATCACTGCCATTAAATGCCATCATTCATCATCACGAGGCAGAAGTTGGAATCATCAAGAGAGAAAAAAAAATAATACACTTCCAAGGCAATTCCCCGTGGTGCCCCGCAACAGAATCTCCTCCGTCCGAACAAACCCCTCTCTCCACGTGGTGGCCATCGATTCCGTCCACGTGGACAACGTCTCGGGTTACCCTGTCTCGCTTGGCGTAGTCCTGACTGTCCCCTCCAAATTAAGCTTTTACGGATCGAGGACTAACGGCTACTTTTTTTGAGCTAGAAGCCGCCACGTGGCGTGAGGACAGAGGAGGCCCGAATTTTGGCGGGGCATTGGGCGAGGGAAGCGGTGTGGGGCCCACACCCACCGTCAGCCGTTGACTGGACCACTCACTGCAGATGGTGGGACCCACCCAGCTTCGCCGGCATGCCGTTATAAAGGCACCCAACCCCTAAGGGAGAGAGAATTTAATAATTAAAACAAAAAACAAATAAAAGACAAAAAAAAATACATTAAAAAAAAAACGGAATAAAGGGAAAGGGGGGAAGGAAGCGTTAAGGAGAAAGACAAAATCTTGAATTAAATTGGAAATGAAAAATGAAAAATGACAAATGAGCTCTGTGGGTCAGTTTCAGGGAAGCATTTTTTGAAATCAATTAGTAATCGGACAAGGACCAAAACAGTGAAAAGTAAAAATAGCAAAATTTAACCACAAAAAAATGGCGAAGGAGTGGATTCCGGCGGCTGAGTGAGTCCCACGAGTGTGGGTCAGATTCATGCAGGTGAGGCGTGAGATGCGGGGTCAGCAGAGGACGGTAGGTCGGGGCCGACCCTGCATCCCTCGAGCATGAACACAATCTCTGGCATTGATGGTCGATCGAGTGGGTCAGGAGCGGTGCACAACAACGCCACTTTAATGGCCAGCAGGAATTCCTCCCACTCTGCTGACTCGGGATCGAGCTCGAGCAATCCCGGATCGAGGAGCTCCGATATCTGCCCTGTTTGCAACTGCCTCTTCACCCACTTCACGATGTCTTCGTCTCCTGTAAATGTGGCTGGCCTACGGCCTGTGAGCAGCTCCAACAGCACAATCCCAAAGCTATATGCATCTGCCTCGCGGCTTGCCTGCCCTGTCAGGGCAGCCTCCGGCGACACATATCCTAATGATCCAACAGGCGTTGCCGATGTTGAGGGACCCGTGGTAGTCCCAGCAAGCCGGTCGAGGCCAAAGTCAGATAAGTGGGCCTCAAAATCAGCATCAAATAACACATTTTGTGGCTTCACATCGCCATGGACTAGGCCCGCAGCATGCAAGAAGGCCAACCCTCGTGCCACGCCAAGGGCAATCAGGTGGCGCATTGGCCAGTTGAGGACATGCCCGTCCTGGTGAGATGCCTCTTGTAACAGTGTGGCGAGGTTGCCGTTTGGCATGTAATCATAAACCAAAAGATGTGCATCCGGGCCTGTGTAATATCCCCGAAGCACTGTCAAGTTTCGATGGCGCACTTTGCCGAGAGCTTCGGCTTCCTTGCGGAATGCCGCTGCTGCCGATGACGTGCGGGTCTCGGTGTCGGGGAGGCGGAGAATCGAGAGGACGGTACCATCAGAGAAAGAGGCTTTGAACACAGTCCCATGCCTTCCTCGACTCAACACATTTTCCTCATCGAACTGTCGGGTAGCTTCAAGAGTTTCACTATATGTGATTTTGCTGCCAAACATGACCACTGCATTGGGATCCTCGGCCCCACTCGTGCGTGTCGGACTCGGTTTCTTCCCTCCTCTGTGCTGCTGCCGTTGCCTAAGGTTCGCCGCTGCGAGGCAGCAGCACAGGGCTGCCAAGCAAGCCAGGCCGGCGGCAGCAGCAGCGGCCACAATAATCAGAATGAGTTTCCTCCGCTTGGTCTTCTTCTTCGACGTGGGGCATTTTGTTTTGAGGGGGTTACCGCAAAGGCCTGGGTTCATTGAGAAGGAATTAGGGCCAAAATGGGACCCCAAATTAGCTGGAATCTCGCCCTCAAGCTTGTTGTATGATACATTGAAGCTTTTTAAGCTTGTGATTCTTGTGAGCTTTGCCGGAATGTTGCCGGAGAGGTTGTTTACAGAGAGATCTAGCATTTCTAAATGGGTCAGGTTGGCAAACGAGTCCGGAATGGTTCCATTGAGGTGGTTATGGTCTAGAATCAGAGAGGAGAGCGATGAGCACTCGGAGATTTCAGGTGGTATGGATCCTCTGAAATCGTTGATTCCCAAATCAAGTGACTGAAGGTGAGAGAGTCGGGAAAGATCGGAGGGAATTCGGCCGGAAAACCTGTTTGATCGAAACTCCAAAACTGTGAGAGCTGAACAGTTTCCAATCTCTGCTGGAATCCCACCAGAAAGAATGTTATGAGAAAGAGAGAGAGTTTGTAGGGATTGTAGAAAACCAAAAGCAGGGGGGATTTGGCCGGAGAAATGGTTGAATGTCAGATTAAGGTATTGCAAGCTTGAGAGGCTACTGAAACCTTCAGGAATTTCACCGGAAAATGAGTTTTCAGGCAAGGAAAGGACCTGCAAATTAGGCAGGCCAGAGAGTTCAGAAGGCAGCTCACCAGAGAGATTTTGCTGGCCTAAATCAAGAACCCGAAGGTTCAACAAGTTCCCAATGCTTTGGGGAATCTTGCCGGAAAGTTGGTTCCCACTCACATTCAGATCTCGCAAGCTCTGCAAGTCCCCAATCTGCGGAGGGATCCCGCCGTAAAACCTATTTTGGCTTAGGTCTAGAACAGTCAGGTTGCTCAGTTGGGTGAGGTATTCAGGGATATTCCCACTCAACTTGTTAGACCTCAAAGAGAGAGTCTCCAAGGAAGAGAGATTGATCAAACTGGCTGGAATCGCGCCGGAAAATTGGTTTCCCCCAAGAGACAGAGCCCTCAGAGCTCTCAATGATGAGCCCAAACTTGCCGGAATCTTGCCAGAAAACAGGTTGTCCTCAAGATCAAGCACCTGCAACTGTGTAAAACTCTCAATCACCTCCGGAAAATTCCCTGTTAACAAATTTCCGGCAAGTGCCAGCCTCTGCAGAAGAGTTAGCTGTCCAAAAGAATCCGGCAGAATACCAGAGAAAACATTGCTAGAGAGGTACAAATCTGTTAATGAACTGAAACTCCCAAACCATGAAGGAATAGACCCATTGATCACATTCCCTCTAAGATCAAGAACTTGCAGAGAACCCACAACGGAAGCCCCATTTCCCAGCGAACCCACCTCATCAAACCCATTAAACCCAAGCTCCAAGACCCTCAATGGTGAAGACCTATTGTTAAAGAGAGAGAAAGGAATAGTACCAGAAAGAGAGTTCCTGTTAAGAGACAACACCTCCAAATTAGGCAGCAAGCCAAAGGCGGCCGGAATCTGACCCACAAGACCATTACCCTGCGTGCTAAAGTGGACAAGCAAAGAGCAGTTGGCCAAAGCTGAAGGCACACTCCCACTCAATAAATTCTCATCAATCCACAAAAACCTTAGCCCTGAAAGCTCACCCAAACTTGCAGGAATCTGCCCCACGAGTTGGTTAAACGAAAGATTAAGAACCTGAAGATTTGATGCAACTGATACATTCTCTGGTATTTGGCCCGAAAGCGAGTTTGATGAAAGGTCGAGGAGTCTAAGAGAGGGAGAGGAGAAAATGGAGGGAGGGATTTGGCCTGAGAGATTGTTGTTAGAGGCTGAGAAGGACTGGAGAGAGGGAAGGTTGGAGAAGAGAGATGGAGGGAGGGGACCATAGAGAGAGTTGGAGTGGAGGCTGAGTTTTCGGAGAGAGGAGAGGTTAGAGAGAGACGGAGCGATTGGGCCTCGAAGGCGGAGGCGAGGGAGTCGGAGGGCGACAACAAGAGACGAGGAGCAGAGGACACCACGCCAGTCGCAGGGGGCCGAAAGGGAGAGAGGAGTCCATGAGGACAGAGAGTTTAATGGGTCTTCCAGGCCAAGCTTGAAAGAGAGAAGGGCTTTGAGTTGTTCTTCTTTTAGTGGTGGTGGTGGTGAGAGGGCTGAGAGGCCGGAGGAGAAATGGAGGAGGAGGAGGAGGAGGAGGAGGAGAGAGAGAGTTGGGGTGTGCATTGTATAGGTTGTGGGGGTTCTACTTACTTGGGTGGTGGTTCATGACTCTGTTTTCTCTCTTTTCCTTCTTCTGCTTCTTCCTCTTGCCTCTGCACTTGTTCTTCTGTGTACTCTCTTTCTAGACTTCTTATCTGTCTACTTGTTCTCGCTCTGTACTTCTTGTCTCTCCACTGGTTCTCTATCTACATGATGTGAACTCTCTCTCTTGTTCTTCTTTCTTGGGTCTCTGTTTCTCGAGCTGCTGTGTCATGGGAAGTGTCTCTCTCTTTCTCTTCTTTTCCTCTCCCTCTCCCTCTCCCTCTCTTCTTTTCCCCTCTCTCTCTTCTTGCTGTTACTGTTATTGTTGAAGTTTTGAGCACCTCTAATGGCGTTGGGTGGAGAAGAGCGGAGGCCCAAAGGTGACACAGAGGCCGGCTGGTCTTCCCTCTCCCTCTGCTCTTTCTCTCTCTCTTTTGAAAAGATGAAATCTTTTTTCTTTCCGTTTCTTTTGTCGTAGACTTCTGTACCCTTGCAAAATGCTGACAATATAGCTCAGTTCTTCTCTCAGAAAAAATGAGCGCCTGTACTTTGCTCCCTCTGGAGTACTCACTGTACATTTACTCTCTCCGGCGAAACACTAATTTTGGGGTTTTTTTTTTATTTGAATGTTCGGGATTTTGAGTTCATAAACATCTGGATTGTTTCATCTGGAAATTGAATGGTTTTCATCCAATGTTTTTATTTTTAAAGCACGTAGATAGTGAGAGTGAATTTGTTTTTCGTTTGAGGTTAGTTTGCAAGGTTCTAGAGATCACATCCCTAAAATTTGATATCTAATGTAAGTTTTGTCCGGGGGAGTATATGGATAATATACTCTGACGGAAGTATAAAAACTTTTGGAGAGAAAATGCTGTTCAGTTCTTGTTCTTAGGAACTTGTCTGTCAGTTTTGATATTGGAAAAGTATCCCGTCCACATGATGTGGACGGGTGGACAAGCACCCCTCTAATGGTTGAGATCTCGTATGGCCCATATCTAACGGCCAAAACTTAGTCTTGTATTTTGGTGCAGTCCTTGGAAAATGGTTTGAGAGGGCTGCGGCCCTATCAAAACAAGTACAACTTCACCTCATAACTCATGGAAAATTGCAATTCATGTTGGAAAACTTTTAAATCGATCATATGAGCTTGAATATTACGGTTATGAAAAAAATTAAGATTTCAAATTCCAAAAATAATATATATTGCAACAAATCATCTAGACTATCTATTCAGCCCTAAAAATAAGCGTTCACAAAGTCACAATATTTGTATCATTTTTTTAGTTTCAAATTTTATTGTAGGTACTTAAAATTGCTATTAGAGCCATCATGGAATTTAGGATGCCAAAAGTGCTTTTTGGATGAAGATTTGAGGTGAGGCTTTATTTTGTTTTCATAAAGCCTAAGCCCTAGAAACTTCATCCTTACTAAAATACTTCTAAATTTATTTTAGTTACTATATTTTATTCAAATATTTTTTATTAATTTTATTCAATCTTAATTATAAAAATGAACCTAAAACCAAAATTTCAGATTAACATTATTTTTAAATAAAAACTTTTTTTTAAAAAAAAATTCATTATATTGGCCTTTGGATGAGCATGGCTAAATCTGAACTATTAAAAGATGTATGTACACCTCTTAAGCGTCCACTTGCTGTCGACGCAATACCAGCCCATATATTAGGGTTAATGTCCATCCTACGGACCACCTGATGCTTCATTTTTCCACAATCGCCCATAGTACGGACTATCTGCTTCATTTTCCTACAGTTTACTCTGTCTTTCTCTCTCTCTTTTTTGACAAAGGTTATGAAATTTTATTGCTAAAATATGTTACAAAATATCAACATAATAAGCACATAAGAAAAACTCAGGAGTAACTCCTCTTTTAGCAAGACCATTGGCAAAGGACTTGGCCCCCCGAAAAATATGGTGAAAAGATATCGCCAAACCACCCACCATATCCATAATGGAGCGAAACTCCTAGGAGAATCGCTGCTCTTTCCTATACCATCTCGCCACATTCAACAAATCCCTTCCACCATACAGTGTTTGCCCAGATTTTCAGAGATGAAATACCATAGGCCATAAAAAAAGAGCTTGCATAACCAAAAATTACCATTCCATTCCAATCTCTAACCACACCTCCTATACCTGCAGCGCCAAAGTTGCCTCAAGAGCTACCATTAAAATTAAGTTTGAAGCAACCCTGAACTGGTGGATCCCAGCACCTAATTAGCCTAGGCTTAGCATTATGGGAAAGTAGCAAATTTGCAAGGTTAAGTCGCACATCTACCTCGGAGATCCCCCTCCCTCTTTAGTAACAAAGAGCCAACTCCAACAGCAATGGATAATGTTACTTAACACTACTTCTACTGGTAGCACCTTTCCCTTCTGTTGCGTTCCTTCCACACATCCCACATTACAATCCCTTAATAATCTTCCATGTGATCTTCCCTAGTTTTGGTAATATGGGAAATGCCAACCATGTGATTACCCCCTCTTCTCTCTCTCTCTCTTAGTATAAGTGAGGAGTACCTTATGGGCAGGTTTTGGAAAGACAATCTGCAACCAGAATCGATCCACGGTTGGATCGCCGATTTGATTGGATCTCAATTTTAACGATTGATTCAAAGGACGCGGTTTCTATAAGCCCATGTAGAAATGAGTCACATATTAAAAATCTATTTTTGAGATAGATTTTTTTTACCTAATTTTTAAATACATGTAATCTCTAACATGGAGATCATGAATATGAAAAATTAATTAAATTGTGAATACTAAAAATAATGATTCTATTAAAAAACATTTGGATTGTTAGTTTCAATTGTTTTTACAGGGAGCCCTTATTTGCATCCATCTTTAAGATGGACGCTTTATACCTTGGGACCGCATAGTGTAGAAATGTGGTCTAGCCCACATGAAATAATTTTCCTTTATTCAAATTGATGAAAGATTTCAAATATATAAAAAACTCTTATATTTAAGAATGAGATTGTATACAATGAGACCATTTACTTTTTAAAGAAGGTGGTCACAATTATGTACAACTATAGAATGTGAAATCTGATAACTTGGGTGTGTCACAAAGTTCGAGAAATTTTTTTTTGAAGATTGAACTTGGTTAAATGAAATAAATGGAGCCATCCAATTTCACATCCAATTGTCAATATTAATTTTGACCACCTTATACTAAATATAAAAGATCTCACTGTATACTTTTTCTTTAAGGTTTAAGTTAAATTAGAGTTAAATTTAATAAATGGAAACTTGATAAATTGAGTATGATTTTGTCAAAGTACTATCCGCCGATTTCATATGTACTAGTGCGTTTCATCTCTAAAATCCATCTTAAACAAGGATTTTTTTATCTAAATTTTTAGGGATGCATGATGTAGGCTAAGGTGATCGATCATGAATATGAAAAATGAAACTTTAAAATTAAAAATGTGCTTTTTCGTTTTTCGTTTTTTCTGGTCCGGTGCGCTTAAAGATTGACGTTCGCGGGTCATCACGACGCTCTTGTATCCGCTGGTGTACAAGTAGCTTTTTAGGCTATCATAATTGTTTCTAACACCCAAGCTGCATCTTCTAACAAGATTTAGAAGTGCACTTTCTTTTGAGTGTCTAAGATTGGCACCTTATACAAGCCACACCCATGAATTTTTTTTTTTTTTTTTTTGAAATATGTTTATCTAACTTGGGTAATTAGAGTTTTTTATTCAAAATTTTTAATGAGGTCATCATGTAGACCAATGGGAGGCAATGAAAATTATCCATAATTTGAAAACAAAAATAGATGAAACAGAACAAAGAAAATAAAAAAATGACAGATCAGGTTCTGAGCAAAGGATAAAACCCTAAAAAATTTGAGCCTATGATTTATATAACTATATTGTACATCAATGATAGAAAAATCAAATGGGAAAATTTTTAGAGAAGTCAAGCGAAAAACTATAAAATACTCTCAATCACATAATTGGTTACATCAATGGTGAAATAAATTCCCAAATTTGATCTTGAGCCATTCATATATTCTCGATTTTAATATGAAAAACATTGTTCGGGTGAGATAAATGAAAGAAATAATTATTGTAGATTAATGATAGAGAAACAATTTGCTAGAAATTTGTCAAGAGAAAAAGAGAGAGAAAACGCTTTCAATTATGAGGGATTCTTGATTCGATAAATAAGCAAGGACAATTTCGATCGGGATCAGCAATATTTTCAAACTCTAGATCTAGGCATACTTTATCCATGATGGACAATTGAATTAATAATAGGACCCTACGATAGATATTCACCATTATTAGGGTAGTCCAAAGGAGGTTGCCATGCATTATGTTTTAGGTTCCTAGTACACAGTTGGGTACCTGTTTCAAGTAAAACAACAAGGTCTTCCTTGTAGATTCCTTTGAATTCATTTCCAGCCATAACACTGCAATGATGATCTGAATTTTTTTACTTCTATTTACATTCATTTACCAATCCTTCAAAGACATTGGCTATTCATTTCCTTCCAAATTTTCCAAAGCATAATTGTCAGAGCAGTTCTCTAGAGCAGGATACCACTATTAAACATCAGTGGTGAACTCCATTGAAAAATAAGTTCTCAATTGACTGTAGAATTACCTAACTAAATTCAATTTCACCAATAATCCATTCATGAAAATGCATTACGGAAAGGACAATGAACAAGAATATGAATGCTTATAATGCAATTAGGGTTTCTGATTTTATTTAATAGTTTAAGAGACCAAAATTAGGTTTAAGTTATGTGGTCTTTTATTAGTGTATTTGTTTTGAATTTAATTGTAGAGAATTGAGTGGTAGGGTTGGAAGTTTCATTTTAAATAAATGAAGGATTAGGATTAATTGTGGTTGGAGTTTTTGAAAGAGCAAGTTAGGTTTTTCGGTTTTCTTCTGTAAATATATAAAGAGAAAAGATTCTATAGGACCCTCATATATAAATATTAGATAAGATAAACGGAGTAAAGAATAATTTTCTTTGGGATCTTTTAGTTAGACACTTTGTAGACTTAAAAAGAGAGCTAAATCTTTCAACCTGTAATGGATTCCCCCATAAACCCTAAGATATTGTACATTTCTTCTCGCTCACTAGGTAAAAGCTTGATTGTAGTGGAAAGTGACATCATCGACATGAAGTGAGATGTCACCCACATGGGACATTAATTATTTTTTAACGACAAATAAAATGCCACTAGTTTTTGATAAATATTATATCCCTCTTAATTACGAAAATATCCTTACTCGAAAATTTTATATTACGGAGCAAGGGTAATAATTGTCCAAATATGTTGAATACATTAAAGAAATACCCTAACAATATATATGGGATTGTCTACTATGAGATCATTTATCTTTATTACAAAGAAGTCAAAATTGCTACTTTGGCCAAATTGGATGGCTTGGGGTGTGAAAAAATTCGAAATATTTTTTTTTCTAATTTTAAGCTTAATGAATGACACAATCGATACAGCTAAATTTAAAATCCAACAGCTAAAATGATTGTGACCTCATTATATTAAAATTAAATATTCTCTTTGTATGCACAACCCGTCTCTACTCTTCAATTTCTACTACCTTGTTTGCATGAGAACAAGCTTCCATATCCCTCGAGAATAAATCCCTCTTACAAATAAATCCTTTGTCCCACCAATTTCTACTTTGACAATCTGATCTCTTTTCCCCTCCCTCTCTACCTCTACGTGTGACATGTGGGTCCTCATGCTGACCTAACACTAGCACTGACCTATTTCAATTGTGCCACCTAGTATTGAAAAATAGCCTCTCTTCTCCTACAAGGAGACGTATTCCACTTGTTTTATAATGTATGGAGAAGTAAGTTTAGCAATGGGCCCGGTGGCCCAGTCAGGCTAAACCGGGCCACAGAAGCGTATATAGTCCATAGGGTGAGGCTCAGCGCCGATGGACATTAGGCAAGCTCTGGGCCCGACTCGGCCTTCCATTAGTCCAGACCAAGACCCAAGCCCACCCAGGGGCTCAAGGAGAAAAGACTCCCCTGCAAAACAAATTACCATATGAAATGATTTCATGCTCTTGCGAAAACATGCAAAACGATTATTGCATGAAAACCGCTTCCGGTCGAAAAAATAAATTTCCTACTCCCACAAGAATGTATAAAAAAAAGACAGTGCTCTTCTTTCTCCTATGTTTACTGTTGTAGCTTCCTGCATAAAAAGATTTCTTACTCCCGCGGGAATGTATAAAAAGAGATAGTGCTCTTCTTTCTCCCATGTTTACTGCACTTCGGGCTGCTTTGGCATATCCATTTTCAAACCAAAATTCAAAGAAAAAAAAGGTACACAAAGCATCGCCGCATTCGCGGAAGATGCCCCACCCCCCCCCCCCCATAATAGAAACTTTTGCTGAGAGCAACACATTCACTTCAAGATATGATACAGAAAATATTTTGTTTTGACTCATTTTAGTCAAAAGCTTTTTCAGAGCAAGCATGTGTAAAGTATTGCTAGAATTTATAAGGATAGTGTCTTTTTCTTTCTTTCTTTCTATTCATTATTTAAATATTAATAAAGAAGACGAATAAAAAGCCCCTCCTCTGGTCAAGTTTTACTTTTGTTGTGGCTTTACCTCTGTACTTTTTACATGGTTTTAACTGCACATGGGTTATCATTAACCCCTGTGCAAACTCACGTGCCTTGAACCAAAATATGGCGGGCACTTTCCACATTACGAAAATTTTCCAATTATGAAAATAAAACAAATGATTTTTTAGTTTGAACTTGGATATGAAGAGTGATGTAATGAAACATTTATTTTCTATTACTATGTTTTAACTCATGATTTTGTGAAGTTCCTATTTTTGCTAAAGACCAGAATTTAGTGTAGACCTTTTAATTAAGTTTAGAGGAAGTTTTTATCAACATATATAAGGTCCTGTAACTTAAATTTCATGGTCCCCTCTCAAGACATCTTGGGTTTTTTCCTTTTTAAGGGTGTGGTTTGTATAAGGCCTAGGCCCTAAACAATCAAAATAAGGCGCACCTTCATATAGTGTTGAAAGATGTTGTTTCGAGAATCTTTATGATGGCTTGAAAATTTATTTTCATATCTAATTATAGAATTTAAAACATCAAAAATATTGTAGGCCAAGCAGATCCATGAACACTTGAAAATTGATGATCCGAAAATACATTATAAGATACACTATGTCCAAGATTTGAAATCCATTTTTTCTCATGTCTATACATCTTGAGGTCGAGATGATCAATTTGATGATTTCTTAGCATGGAAATAACTTGTTTTATTAAATTTTTGAGGTGCCCCTTAATTTAATTGCTTAGTGATGTCTATTACATGATAATATGACATAACCAGCAGATCCATGAACACTTGAAAAACTTAAAAATTGATGATCCGAAAACACATTATAAGATACACTATGTCCAAGACTTGAAATCCATTTTTCTCATGTCTATACATCTTGAGGTCGAGATGATCAATTTGAGAATTTTTTAGTATGGAAATAACTTGTTTTATTAAATTTTTGAGGTGCCCCTTAATTTAATTGCTTAGTGATGTCATTACATGATAATATGACATAACCAAGCAGATCCATGAACACTTGAAAAACTTAAAAATTGATGATCCGAAAACACATTATAAGATACACTATGTCCAAGACTTGAAATCCATTTTTTCTCATGTCTATACATCTTGAGGTCGAGATGATCAATTTGAGGATTTTTTAGCATCGAAATAACTTGTTTTATTAAATTTTTGAGGTGCCCTTTAATTTAATTGTTTAGTGATGTCTATTACATGATAATATGACATAATGATGTTTATTACATTGATATATAGCATGTTATCGACATGAAAATATCTCTTTAGCTGATAAACATGATAAAATGACATAGTGATGATTATATGTATAGCATGCTCTAGACAAGCTAATATTTTTTGTGATTATATGTATGATGTGCTTCTAATATGATTCATAGAGACATGGTTATGTTATATTATCCATACATGATGACATGCTTCTGATACGATATGTATGCATGATAACATGCTTATGATGAGATATGTGTGCATGGCAACATGCGACCCGTATATAAACTTCTTTTTTTTAATGGTTGCAAACCATGGTTTTGGAGGGAAAGATTACTGCTCACAATAAGGAAGGATGATAAGTGTGGAAAAAGGAGGGCACATCGATTGATTTAGAGAGAGAGAGAGAGAGAGAGAGTACAGCTCATAGTTGGGAAGGATGATGGGGTGTTGGTAAAGTGGAGCAAGTTGATTTGATTAGTAGAGGATGAGCTTTGATGAACTTTTCACTTTTTCATTTTTTTCTCTTTTGGGTTTTAACCATGATGCTCCCCACTTATGTTGTACTGCAAGCTTTAGCAATGAAAGAGTGGTAAAGGGATGCAGAAGTCATTGGAGTAAGAGAGAGAAAGGCTTCTTCATATTTAAGACGTCCCTGAAAAGAACACATGGGTGTCTGTCCATGCTTCAATATATTTACAGACTTACCAGAAAATGAGTAACACAAAAAAACACATGAAATAGAAAAGCATCGAAACAAACAAAGCAAATAGTGATATTACAGGCTTTAGAACATGGAAGTTTACATTTAAACAACAGCAAAATCATAAGATAAAAGTTTGTTATTCAAAAAAGATGCAAATGCAGTATACCAGTCAAGATGATTATAATAATGTGTGTGCACATGCGTGTATGTGCATGTGTGTGAGAGAGAGTCACGGAAGACAAAAAAATTAGCTCTATAATAGGGTATGGTCGTTACAACCTTTGTAACTACTGAATTTTTTTGTACAATTCTATGATGGAAAAAGTTTATATAAGGTTGCAACCTTAAAATGTAGCATTACAAATGCACCTCAAAAATCCATAAGAAAAGATTGTTTTAATATAGAGAAACCTTGTAATCGATCATCTCGACAACAAGATGTATGAATATGAAAAAAGAAAAAGATTTTGAGTCCTAGATATAGTGCATTTCACAGTACAATATCTAGACCGTCCATTTTCCATATTTTCATATGATTATAGATGTACTTGATTTTGACCATTTTTTAAGTTTAAAATTTTATAATTAGATATGAAAATAGATTTTGGGATAATCCTAAAAATTCTTTACACCAAAATTACAAGTTACGATAAAATTTGAAGGTGTGTCTTAATTGGATTGTTTAAGGTTGCAACCTTATAGAAACCACTCTATGGTTGAAATGAAATAAAAAACTGATTTTTGGAGCACACTCCTCCAAAACATAAACAGCCCAAGGAAATTAGATTGTGTTTTGGATTCAAATAAGGACATATTTTCTATGAGTCCATGTAGAAATTAATCACCTCTTAAAAATTTTATTTTGAGATTGATTTTTTTACTTAATTTTTAAGGACATGTAATCTCTAACATGGAGATCATGAATATGAAAAAATAAATATATTTTGAAAATTAAAAATAATAATTCTATTTAGAAAACATTTGGACCATTAGTTTCAAGTGCTCTTAGATGGATCACCTATTTGCATCCATCTTTAAGATGGATGCTTTATACTTTGGGACCGCATTGTAGAAATGCGGTCCAGCCCGCATGAAACAATTTTCCTTCAAATAAAGATGCTATCATGCATCACCCCCAAAAACCCAAAAGGAGAATGCAAGTAAAAAAGTAAAAAATTCGAGAGTAAAATGTAAACAGTTAAGTGAATGTGGCCAAAGACTTTAATAAAGAAATGGACAAAAGGAAAAAGCTGAGACAAGACTTAAGAAACCCAAAGTTCCATGATGAGTAGGGGTGTTTTGGTCGTACGAATCAGGTAAATTAATGCAAGGGACACTCAATGTCTGGCCTTTGTCTATCTTCTATGGGAGTGCAGATATGCTGGATGCTGACATATTTGGGACACCAACAAGTTTGAAAGCCTTAGAAATTCAAGCTAAGGTCCACTCTTAATAAACTGAAATGATGGCTCAAGACATTTCTTCTGGTTAAATGAAATAGGGAATAATTTATACCCAATTATTCTCTAAAGCTATTTCAAGGCAATTGCTCAGAGAGAGAGAGAGACTGCTCCTTGCCAATAAGAGTGATAGGACCACCTCAAAGAGATGGAATCTGCTCACCTACACAAGTGGGGATTGGGGATGGGAGACTGCCAAATATCTAAAATTTTGAAGCCAAAAGTTCCATTAGAAAAACTGGCAATCTATGCATGAAAGGGACTACATGCTGAACATTGCAATTGTATATGACTGACAAGAAGTTATGATGGTGGTACTAAGTGTTCCTGTTGTCTGTTTAATAAAAAAGATGATTAATTCCTCCAAATACATGGAAGGGCCAACTTGTATGGCTTTCTGAATTTTCAATCATTCAAACTTCCACCTGAAGCCTGAATGCTCACAATGCATCGCACTGATACAATTTCAGTGCTTTTAATGAGGAACATGGACTTTTCCAGAAAAGAATGAAAGAACAAGCTTACAAATTTTAGGATAGAGAATTATAAACTTCCATTAATCAAATATTGTTCATGAAATTATGATTTGCAAGCCTACTTTGAGATGAAGAGCACCATAACATAACATCTATGGTGCTCTGACCTGTCCTTGGACTAGTTTCTTGTCGGATGTTATGATGTCCTTAAGGGCATCACTGACATATGGGTAGTCAAACGAGAAACCCAGCTCTTGGGCTTTCTTCGGAAGAACTTTTTGTCCATCCAAAACCTGCAAATTTTCCAAGACAATTCACATGAATGACCAGAAAAAAATGTATACACTTTTTTTGAAGACTAGAAGTGAATTTTTTCTTTGGCGAAGCCATAAAGTAATTTCTATTTTCAACGGTTTCACTAAAATAGGCACACAAGGTTTATCAGGAGCAGTCATAGTCCAATGGTTCACCACCCACTTAAATGGTGTGTGTGTGTGTGAGAGAGAGAGAGAGAGAGAGAGAGAGATCCACCAAAACAGGACATTACCCAAATGGTGGATCCCACTCTCCACAATCCATCATTTCATTGGCTGGTGATGACCCAGTAGATTAGAATTCGAAAATACATAAATGTGTTTAGAATACTTAGAAAAAATGGAGGACCATACAAACAGAATATAATTAATACTCACAACAGAAGCCCCTTCACCAAGGACTGCCTTGAGAGCAAAATCTGGGACTGGCAGCCACGATGGCCTGCCCATGACTCGACCCAACTGCTCACACATTTCACCCAACCGCACTGGATTTGGAGCAGTGCCATTGATGACTCCTGAATACAAATAAATATCAGCTTCAGAAAAGTTTCATGAAGTTTATAGAACTTTCACACTTCGAAGGAATGTACAAAGGGAAAACCACAGTTCAGTGCTCATGACAGTCCTATGGAATGATGGAAGGTGATGGCGAAAGTCAGAGAGGACCATTGTAGCCATGTCCTTTTCCGTTGTGTGCCACTCTCCATCAACATCCTTATTTTAGTGGATGGTGGTAAGTGATGACCCAATGCACTATGGCTTTCCAGAACTCAATGGACTAATAGTAGACTTCCCGCCCTATCAAAAGGTTGCCCTGCTTCTCTTGGAAAGCAAATGATCATAGTCTTTTGTTTCATGAACCAAACATCTCTGCTACATGTTAGGTGACTCAGCTTGGATCGCATAGTCCAATGCCCTTACCTAGGAAGGCGTTCGACCATGTTCTCTTCAGTAGTTGGTTTTCTTCCAGTATGGGAGGCAGCTATTAGGAACCACTTTCTCATAGGCTCTTCCTGACCCCTACTAATACCCCAACTCTTTAGAAGAGAATAAAATTAGTTTTACATTTTTTATTATAAAATAGGAACACGTTAATGATGAATATTATGGACCTCTACTTGAAATCAGATTAACGGAAATCAAATGAAAGTTGTAATTTTAGCAGAAGTAACAAAAGAGATTTGTAGATTTTCCAACTCCGCATATTAGGGTACCAACTGCCTTAGGGGTTTCTTACTTGTGAAGGTAAACCTGAGAGCACCAGGTATTTGTACACTTTCTGTATTACAGATAAATTTCAGCTGTCTATTAATATTCATCAATGAACATCTGTCTTTGAAAGTTTCTCAAAAATATGAGTAGATAGACTCTTTCTTTGAGAAGAACAACAAAGGTCATGTCTTCGGAACTTGAATATCTGTGATACAAATATCATGCAGGTGAAGCATGTTTATTGGTAATACCTTTATATGATTGATTTGATAAAGCTTCCATAATAAGGCTAACCAGGTCATCCAAATGAATCCAGGAAAACCTGCAGCAATCATTTGCCTGTTTATGGTCAGCAATTCATCCATAAGAAGAAACAATCATCTAGCTGTTGGCTGTTGAATAACACAAAAGAAAGTACAACATAAGTAGGAGGCCTTTTTTTTGTTTTTTTTTTTTGAGAAAGCTACCTGATGTATTGAGTATAAGAAGTGTACAAAAAGTCGGCCACCCACAAATCGGGTGCTCGATGGCAAAAACCCTTATGAGTACAAAAACTATACAAACATTCTACACAGACCATAAGGCTGCAAAGGTGTTAAAGAAACTATCAAACTGAGGTGTGGGCTCGTTGAGACATTTCAAGAGGCTATCGAGAGGGTCCCAGGGGGTTGGAACCATTCGTGCCCACTTTATTGAGGGTGCCCACAATGGAGTTTGCCTCCCTCCAGGTATGCCTCCACACAATATGCAATTCCGAACTTCGGTAAAAAATCTCGTCTAAAATGTGATCAAGCCTCCAAGGGCATGGGGTTGATCTAGGGGCCCAAGTGATAACATTGACAGCGTCCCCTTCGATTATCAAAAAATTATCCCAATCTCTATTAAAGTATCTAAGACCCAATAAGAAGGGCCGCTGCCTCTACCAAATTGGAGTCAGTGAGGCCTAAGAAGTGCAAAAGGAGAACAAGGTTTGGCCAGTACTGTCTCGGAAAATCCCCCCGATGCCCGATGGACCGGGTTGCCCAGGGAACATCCATCGAAGTTAAAACTTAATTAGTCCATTGGCAGGGGGGGACCAACGACAGGCCCGAGGGATTTGGGAAGGCTTAAGGAAGAGTGAGGCCTGCCAATTTTGGTGGACGTCTGCAAGAGAGAGGTGTCTAAAAGTTGTGGTTGATCGCCCAAAAGATGACCAGTGACAGCACCTTTCCAGTAGAGTTTCGGTATGGGTATACTCCCCCTAAAGGTTCTTTGGTTTCTTTCTACCCATAGTACCCAAAGGGCAGTAGCAACAGTAGCTCTCCATAAGACAATGCCTGATAGGCCCACAGGGGGGGCAGGCAGGAGAATCTGTGGGGTGGCCCAAGACCATCTAAAAAGAAGGATGGAGCCCCAAAGTTGGAAGGCGAGCTCGCAAGGCAGAAAGAGATGAGCATTGGATTTGGCATTGTTAGGGCACATGATGCACCGGTTGGGGATTTGCATTCCCCTCCTTTGTAGTTGGCCTACCGTCAAGACCCTCTCGCGGATTGTGACCCAATTGAAGAACTGTATTATCAGGGGAACAAGAGAGAACCACACTTTACTCGCTGAAGTTGGATGAGTGGAAGCTACCTGGGAGGGCCTGAGGAGGACGTTGTAGAAAAAGGAGATGGAGAAAACACTGAAGGGGCGGGGGTCCAAACTACCTTATCCACGAGCGAGAGAGGGAGAAAGGAGTGAAGTAGGGCCTGCAGCTCTGAAAAAGCAGGCAGTTCAAGGTCATTGGGGGGCCTTCTGAAGTTTGGGGACCATACCCTCCCAAGGGGCGAGGGTTCGAAATTTTTAGGGACCAAGGAATGGGGGTTACGAGCCAAGAGGAAGTGGGAGGGGAAAGAATCCCAAAGGCGAACATGTCCAATCCAAGTGTCCGATTAGAAAGCAATTATGTCCCCTACTCTCGGTCGGAAGCAATATTGGTGGACAAGTGATTGAGACATGATAAAAATCCCTTACCCCCCATCTCTTTAGCCGTGCAGGCATGGTCCTCTTTTGCTCCCCCCAAAAATTCAGATCTTCATGTGGTTGGCCCTCTCTCAGAGGGTGCTCACAGTTGACCAGCTTCAAAGAAGAGGCATTCCAATACCCAATCACTGTGCTCTGTGCATGGCAGATGAGGAATCCAACGCCCACCAGTTCCTGCATTGCCCCTTTGCCCTTAACCTATGGGGGGAACTGTTATGCCTCTTCAAAGTTCAGTGGGTACTCCCGGCCACTATACCTCTTATCCTTTCATCCATTCAACCTTTCCCTTGGCCTAAGGCTAGCATTTTACTGTGGAATCCAGCAGTGGCAGTGTCTTTATGGGCTATCTGAATTGAGCGTAACAATAGGATCTTCCAGGGTGATCACTCTCCCTGGCACACTATCTTTGTCAAGCTTAAATCCTCAGTGGTATTCTGGGCTACCAATCACCAATGTTTCAAAGGGGTTTCCACTGCTGCCTTTTATCAGGATTGGGCCATGCTCTTCAGCATAACCGAATGAGCCCCACTTGGGTATCTTTTTGGAAACCCCCTGCTCGAGGTCAATTCAAGCTTAACTTCGACGGTTGTTCCCTTGGAAATCTTGGCCCATCGGGTATAGGAGCGATCCTCAAAGACCATCAGGGCTCAATAGTTGCTTCCATCTCAAAGTCTATTGGTCATTCTGACTCTATGGGAAGAGCGCAACAGAAGAGTCTTTGAGTCAAGACCCACCAGGAGAGAGCTTATTGTGAAACGGATTATCTTACATGTTCAGGCACTAGCAGAAGTTAAAAAGTGGTCTTTCCATTTATCAAAAAAGGCCATAATTGGTAATCTTCAGATAACTTGGCGTCAGCAGAGGTCATAATCTCTTATTCCGGTGGTGTGGTCCTTTCTTGAAGCTCAGAATTACAAACTGAATATTGATGATGCTTCCTTGAGCAATCCAGGTTTAGCAGGTGGTGGTGGAGTCATCAGGAACATAGAGGCTGATTTCATTGCTGCTTTTGCAAAGCATTTTGGTTTTGCTTCTAATAATCATGTAGAATTTCTGGCACTTGAGGAAGGAATTCAATTGGTTCATCAAAGGAATTGCTTTCCAATACAGATAGAAAGTGATTCGGCCATGCTTGTGAATGTCATTCAGAATCGATGCAGTGCTCTACGGCGGCTCAAGACGATTGCAGATAATTGTTGCACCAGACTTTCTTCTCATCAATGGTCTATTACACATGTTTTTCGAAAGGCAAACATGGTTGCAGATAGGGCATCTGCTGACCTTGGTGCTACTGTGTGGCGCCATAGACCACGAGATTTTCTTTCCTCTCTTTTATTACATGATCTGACGCAATTGCCCTACTATAGGGTTGTACGTTAATTAATTTTTTCTGCTCTTTTATTAATGGAAAAACGGGTAGAGGGCCTTCTCCCCCACTGACTTACCCAAAAAAAGAAGAAGTGGGGGCTATAGCTTTGTTGGAAGCCCTTATGCTTACCCAACATCATAGGATTGAATCCATTACTATCATAACTTGGGCTACGAACTCTTCCTCCCCCCTTGGTTTTTGGCTCACATTTTTTATGAGATTAACCACCTTTGCAGGGATATGCACGTCTTATGGAGGCATACCTGGAGGGAAGCAAACTAGGTGGCTGACACCCTTACTAAAGAAGCGGCTATAGCGGACGGTTCTTGGCATTTTTTGGATCGGCGTCTTTTTGTGGATTTCTTTTGTTGTTAATGTAACCTTAAAAAAGAAGGCTTTTTGTTTCTTCTTTTATTTTTCCTTTGTACTTGGAGCTTCCGTCTTGTGTATGGCCCAAACTTTGTTTCTTTGCCCCCCCCCCTCTCTTCATCAATTTAAGGTTAATTCTATTTTTTTTTTTTAAAATCCCTTCTTAAGACTAGAGGCATTGCTAGGGAGCCAAGCATTTAGGGGGCACCTATATTTATGCCATGGCACCTCTTGCCAAAGATGGTTACTTTGAACTGCAAATCTCCACCACCATTTACCAATGAGGGCAGCATTAGTATCTCTGAGTCTACGGAGGCCCAGGCGCCCTTGAGACTTTGGGGCACAAACGGTATCCCAGGTTATTAGATGGTATTTCCTTCCCTCAGTGCCAAAACAGAGAAAGGGTTGCCTCGATAAGGGTAAGTCTCCCCGCAAGGGAGAGAAATCAGCCTTTCCACCCCCGCAAAGCATCTATCAAACTTGTCAATAATGTGAGACCATTGCTTAGCTTTACGGTTTGCCAATGCACAGGGGCAATCCTAAATAGGAAGAAGGCAAGGGTTGTGCTTTGCAGCCCCAAAGATTGGCCATCCGAGGAACTAATTCAAGGCTCATGGCCACCCCCCCCCCCCACCATACTAGTTTTGGCAAGGTTGACTTTGACACCTGTGGCCCATTGGAAGCACCTAAGAAAAAGGCACAAGGTGTCTACTTGATTTGGGTGGGCATCACAAAAAAGGAGTATTGTCAGCATATATTGAAGGTGGAGATGGTGGGCCCTCGAGTACTAGCTTGAAAGCCCCTCACGATACAACCCCGAATGAAGGAGCAGAAGACCTCGACTGCAATGGAAAAGAGGAAGGGCGAGAGGGGATCCCCTTGCTGAAGTCCCCTCGAAGCTTGGAAGAGTCCCCTAGGGGATCTATTGATGATAACAGATAAGGAAGTTGAAGAAATGCACCTCCTCATCCACCTACACCATTGAGAGCCAAACCCCATTCTTGATAAAATCCCCTGGAGTATATCCCAATTGACGTGGTCGTACACCTTTTCCCAAACTAGCTTGATGACCAGTCCCGGGGATTTGGCCAAATACTGAGAGTGAATGCATTCATGTGCAATTAGAGCACCATCGAGGATTTGCCAATCCTTGACGAAGGCTCCTTGAGAAGGAGAGATGAGCCAAGCAAGGACCTCTCGAATTCCAGATGCTAGCACCCTGGAAATGATCTTATAGGAGCTATTAACTAGGCTGATAGGCCTAAAGCCTTGAAGTTCCTCCACCCCTTCGATTTTGGGAATAACGGCGAGGAAAGTTGCATTTATAGCCTTATTCACTATTCCACTATTGTGGAAATCTTCGAAGAAGGCCACTAAGTCAGGTCTAAGGAGTCTCTATTTGAAAAGAGCAATCGGGAAGCCATCCGAGCCTGGGGTTCTATCTTGGCCCAACAAATTTATTGCATCGAGGATTTATTTTTATTTTTATTTTTTTTGACAAGGTTACATTCCTATGTAACCTTGTTAAAAAAAAAAAGAAGATTTTATTGCATTGAGGATTTCCTTTTAGGCAAAAGGTTGCTCGAGCCATTCTGTTTTCTCAGGGGATAGAGTTTTGACAGCCAGAGAGGACATTTTCAGCTTTGGGCCAACTGGTGTCGTGATGAGGTTCTTGAAAAAGTAGATTATGGCTCGTTCGATGAGTGCCTTCTCCCAATTTTTTGGAGAAAGGCGGTGTTAAGGTCGCCAAGTTTATAGACCGCCCCCTTGAGAAGCACAGATTGGAGAGAAAGCTTCGCTTCTAGGCATTGATTTCTTTCTACAGGGGATTCCTCGAGAGTGTCCAAGGTGTGGATGGCCTCGAGTAAGGACCCTTTTTCTCTCGAAAGTTTCCAGGGAGGTTACAGCTCCACTCCCTGAGGGCCAATTTCAATAGTAGTTTTCGTTGTAGATGAAAACCAGGCCAACCTTGGATGAGTGGGGCAAAGGCTTGCTCCCATGAGGAGATGAGCGCAGGGAGTTAGGCTCCTCCAACCAGGACAGCTCAAATCGAAAAGGCTTTGGGCCTTGACTGATGACATTTGTATCAAGCAGAATGGGCATGTGATCTGAAATGGGCTTGGGGAGGGCCGAGGAGTGAGAATTGGAGGTCTTCAAAGTGATTCGACCGAGTGAAACAGTCCCCTTGGAGACGCACATCTAGGAGTTGGTTCCGAGCAATGAAGTCTAAAAAGGTTGTCATTGAGGGAGAGATTCTAGGGTTGGAGTTTCGTTCAAAGGACCACCGGATAACGTTGAAGTTCTCTCCAAAAACTGTCTCTGCGAGAAGGGGAGTTTGGGCTGTAGACTGCTGAAAACTTCCATAGGAAACCGTCTGAAATTCTGAGCAAAGAGACTAAGACTGAAAATTCTCCGATCACCAAGGAAGAGAGGGAGTGCGAGGAGGGGTCCCAACAACCCAGATACAACCTGAAGCCCCATTAGCTTCCAAAGCCAGCCATTGACAGGGACAGTTTCCCCAAATTTGATGCACTTGCCGGAGAAAGGGAGAGAGAAGCTTTGTCTCGAGTAGGGTTTTAATGGAGTTTTGGGTTATAAAGTGACCATAATGGCCTCCCACCATCACATTGGAGGGAGGCCATTATGGTGACTGTATAACCCAAAACCCCATTAAAACCCTACTTGTGCCTTTGTTAGACAATCTATACCATAATGTCTTCACAAACCTCAGAATGAACTTTTTTGTTATAGCTGACACTGTATTAAAAGAATGTATTCATGAGACCTCAAAAGGAACAGGTTTTACAAGGTGAAAATAAGAGGAGGGAATAGACTCAGAATGCCAAGTACATGCAGCAAAACCCATGCATTAAGTAGTCATTTAATGGTTTTCTGTGGGCAATGAGATTAGGTGACCTTTTTTTTCTATTATTATTTTTAATGTCTTATCTGTTGTATAAAATGCCATCTCATCCTTCTTTAATAAAATCAAAGTAAAATTTGAAATACTAACATCATCAAAGTACAATTTGAAAGACTAACATCAATTATTCCAAATCTCTTTTAAATTGAAGAAAAAAGGAAACCTTTTTTTTTCCTGGTGTTTGTGTGAAATACAAAAAAAAATCACTTCAATTATTAAGGTTCAGACAGATGCATGTGTAACTACATTGTTTTTCATGTATTCAAAAACCCGAAGTAAAAGGAACGTCTTAATTCAGGGTGAACCACATCAATCTGTGCAAAAAGTGACATCTCAATAGCATGAAAACCTGGAAAATATCTAGTCAACAAATATACACCCGATAGAAATCATAAGCTTTATAAAGGAAGGAATTTCTTTCAACTTAGGATGGAGAAAATCACATTGTCCTGCCTTTGTGCAGAAAATGGAAAAAGATTTACCATTGTTTTCCTGAACCTAGTGGACCGCCAGCGAACATCATGAAGAGAGGAATCATTCTGGCTGCAATTAATTCAAGTGGAAGTCAAGGATTAATGTTCATCAGTTCTGATTGATTACCATATAAGAATATATAATATCTATAAGGAAACATAAGAATGCGGAACTTGGTTTACAACTATAAGATGCAGTATTAATGTCAAAAATTAGAATAGTGAAAAGTCTTAACAATAGCTCTCAAAACTTTCCAACAAAACTCCAAAAATTAGCATTGAAAACTAAATTATCAAAGCTTTATAACGCGAAGTAACAAGTGTACCTAGAGCACCACCATCTTTGCCAAGGACAACACCAATGCGAATAAGCACCAAACGAACGTCTTTGTTGACCCCTTGGGCTCTAGCTTCCCATTCTCTACAGACCTGAAAGTATATATTATTGAGGAGAAATTATTGCATCACGTCCAATACCCTACTAGAACTTGCACTGTGAGATGCTGATCACCAGCTTAAGATCATTTATAGCATAGAGTTTAACATCATAAAAAGGACAAAATTTTAATAAGTTCGTAGATACAGTTTAATGACAAAGTTACTAACATACACAAAGATAATTGTCAAAAGTTCATAGCACAACACATTCAGAAGAATGAGCCGATGCTCAAACAAATTCATGTTTTCGGAAAATTTTATAGAAAATGACACAGAATAAGGTAGCAAACCAGAAAAAAAAAAAGGAAACAAATTCACAGAACAGATCTCAAAAGATCTACATGGGTCCGGGAACTCGTTCCTAGCACAGCGTGAGCTAACCTTTTACATTTACATCCAACCCACTTAAGTTATGAGAGGGCAACCGTTGATTGGGCCTCCGAGAATTACAAGAGAAAAGAATTGGGAAACAAGCAAAGCCCCCCCCCCCCCCCCCCCCCGGGCCCGCTTCTGCCCCTCGAGATCCTCCCCAACAGGCCCTCTTTCTCCCCTTTGCCTCTGCAGCCTCTACCCCCTCTTTCCCTCCCTTTGACGATGCCTCACTCCTATCCCCACCTTCCTTAACCCAGCCCCCCTCTTCTTCCTCTTACTTTCAGCCCTCTCTGGTTGTCCTTCACCCTTCACCGCCACCGCCCCCCTTGTGCCCTGTCTCCCCCTCTCCTCTAGCTCCACCCCCTGAACCCCCGCCTTTACCCACAGACTCCCCTCTCGGCCTAGCTGACCGCAAGCCACAACCCCCCCTCGCAACCTCTTCTGAACCTAGTGCACCTTTTTAACCTCCACCCCCTTCTCATCTCCCAATGGACTGACCTAACTTTCCCGCTGGCCTTCTTGTGGTGGAGTCAGACAACCCCACTCCTCCAGACCCTGCAGCCTTAGCCTCCATTCTGGCCCCCTAGTTCCCTTATCCTCCTAACCTTATTCCCATCTTTCAAGTGGCCTCCGTACCCGTCCCTGTCAATGCTCTCCCTACTGACCCTCTCACCTCCCTTTTGGCACCGACAGCCTTTGCAACCCTTCCCCCTCTTCCCTACTACACCACCCCTAACCCCCTTCTTCAAATGCCTTTGCCTCTTCCGGCTCCTCTCTATCCCTCCTTCCACCAACACCCAACTCGGCCTGATTTTACCTCCTCTTAACCCTTACAACCACTTCACCCTACCCACCCCATCCCCTACCCCTTGCCCTAACCCTGATTTTTACAATCCCCCACCCTTGGCCCCGTGGCCCCCTTGCCTCTTCCTCCTGCTCTCCGCTCTGCCTCCCAGCCTCATAACCCCTCTGTGTCTAGGCTTACCCTTCTCCTAGCTGATAACCTTTCTAACCCCTTTGCAGCCTCTCACCCTACAACCTCTGCTTTCTCCGGCTCAACTTCCCCCTCTCCTAGCTCAGCCACAACCACCCACTCTCATTTCTCACTGCCATCCCCCCCCCTCAGCTTCTTCTGTGAACTCTGAGTACGTGGACAGGGTCGACTGCTGCCAAGGCAACATCATGGAAGTCCTCAGGGTCATTTGCTTCCCCTATGCGGGCCTGAGGGCCCATTTCATCTGTTCTTCCAGGCGACGCTCAAAGTAGGCTCAAGGTGAGTATCAAAGGCTCTAGGGAACTGAGGAACCTCATCTCTAGTATCAACTACGATAGACCATCGTCTGTTGCCACTCCTTCGGGACCTAATCCCTTACTCCCTCCCCTAGACCCTTCTCTATGAAGGTCCCCCAGGCTCACAGCCCTTAACGCAACTCTCCTTCCTAGATGAAATTACTCTCTTGGAATGCCCGTGGTCTAAGCTAGACCACTAAATGCAATGCTGCTCGTGATATGAGCTCCAAGCACCGTCTGAATGTAATGGCTATCACTAAAACAAAACTACCCCACCCCTCTCTCCAACTTATTAGACAGGTGTGGGGTCACAAGCTGTGTTAGTGGCTGTTATTGCTCGCTGAAAGGACCTCTAGAGGCATTTGGGTCATCTGGAACCCTTCTGAACACTCCTTGATATCCTCTCATGTTGGGACGTTCTCTGTTATAGTTCTACTCTCCAGGGTAACGGACGGCCTTCCTTGGAAATTCATGGCCATTTACGGCCCTAATTCTGCCGCACTTAGACTCCTTTGGGACGGATCGAGCTCGATCTCGTCGCTTCCCTTCCTCATCCTTGGTGCCTTGGGGGGGACTTCAACATTACTAGATGCTCATTCGAGAGGAATTCCAACCCAAACCTCTCCCAAGGGATGATGGACGTCTCGGACATAAAGAGCTCATTGATGTTCCTCTCTAAGGAAACCAATACACCTGGTCCGACCACTCTTCTCAACCCCCACTCTCCAAACTCGATAGTTTCCTATTCTCTTCTACACGGGACCACCTCCTCTGGACATTATCAAAGAAAATCGGACCCTCTCGACCTCTGAATCGGACCTCAAGACTCACCACAAGTTGGAATAACTTTCTTCCCATAAGATATTCTGGCACCAGAGGTCCAGGGTCAAGTGGCTCCGCCTTGGTGACCACAATATGGGTTTCTTTCATAGGATAGCCAATTGCCGTTGGTGGGATAATTCCATCTCCACCATTAAGGTTGGACACAGGATACTGGACCAGCCTGTTGAGATTGAAGAAGCCATTATCTCCTTCTTAAAAACCCTCTACACTGCTCCTTCGAGACCCAATCCCAGGATGTCCAACCTTCAGTTCCTTTCTCTTCCTGACCATTGGGTCCAATGGTTGGAACAACATTTTCTGAACTTGAAATCCTAGCAGCTCTAGCTGACCTGGGTAAAGATAAAGCTCCGGGCCCGGATGGGTTCCTAGTGGCCCCGTTCAAGCTTTTCAGGGACATCTTCAGACCCGACTTCCTAGACTTCTTTGACGAATTCTTGCACTGAGGCATAATCCACAAAGCAATGAGCGCAACCTTCATTGCCCTAGTTCCCAAACTTGAAGGGGCGGTTGAAGAACTTAAGGCCTTTTGTCCGATTATTTTAGTGAACTCCACTTATAAGATCCTATCCAAAGTCCCTACTTCCAGGCTTAAAGAGGTCCTCCCCTCCGTGATCTCACTCTCCCAAAGTGCCTTCATCAAGGACAGGCAGATCCCAGATGGAGTCTTGGTGGCATACGAATGGTTGCATTCCAGACACCTGACCAAACAACCGGGTCTTATCTTCAAGGTCGACTGGGAAATGGCCTATGATCATGTAGACTAGAATATCCTGGACGAAACGATGGCCCGGATGGGTTTCAGGGAGCAATGGAAACAGTGGATGAGAGGATGCTATTCTCGGCCTTTGTTTTCCATCCTCATCAATGGAACCCCAAAAGGATACTTCCCTGCAACTAGAGGCCTCCGAAAGGAGACCCTCTATCCACCTTTCTCTTTGCAATTTCAGCAAAGGTCTTCAGCCAGTGTATTTCTCGTATGTACCAGTCGGTACTCCTATCTGGCTTCAAAAGTAGTCTTGGGGGACCCTCCGTCTCCCACCTACAGTACGCTGATGATACCTTCGTCTTCTTAAATGTTGTCCCGCAAGAAATTAAGACACTGCGCCTCTTTCTTAAATGCTTCGAGTTTGCCACGGGCTTCAAATTCAACATGGTGAAATCGACAATGATAGGGGTCGCTCTCACGTTGCAGGAAACCAGAGGGCTCATTCCTGGGGGGAGTGTAAAGGGGAAGATCTTCCTACCAGTTACCTTGGCATGCCACTAGGCCTTGGCAAACCCAAAAAGAGTCAGTGGCCCATATCATCAATAAAGTTGATAAACGGCATGCAGGGTGGAAAGGGTGGTTTCTCTCTTTTGCAGGAAGATCTACCCTCATAAAGGCAACCCTGGCCATTACCCCGGTGTACCTCATGTCCTGTTCCACATGCCAGCATCAGTCGCCAACCGACTAGAGCAGTTGACGAAAAACTTCTTATGGACAAGAGACACTGATGCCACAAAATACCACCTTATTTCTTGGGAAGAAGTCTGCCAACCCAAACACCTGGGAGGTCTCGGCATTCAAATCTTGAGAAAACAGAATACAGTGTTGCTCGGAAAATGCTGGTGGCGCCTAGCTACACAAAACGACCTTCTTTGGTCCTAAGTCATTCGCTGTAAGTAAAGGATCCCTTCTACTTGGCTGCCGGAAGGGAGAACACCGAGCAAAGCATCAGAGGCATGGAAGCCTTTCTTGTGTTCCCTCAACCTCTTCCAAAAAACCATTCACTCCCACCCTAGGGAAGGCCACCGCAGCCACTTCTGGTCTGATCTCTGGTTGGGTCACACCCCTTTCAGGGACCTTTTCCCCTCCATTTTCTCTCTTGCTACCAACAATCCTCTACAGTTGCAAATGAGATGCAGCTCTCGAGCAATATTAGAGTCAGGTACCCATCCTTCAGACGCCCCCTTACTGACCCCAAAACCACTGATTTTCTCTTCTTGTCTTCCCTTCTTCACTCTAACTTCCTAGCCTTTTCTAGGCCAGACCGCTTGGTGCGGACCCCATCCCCTTCGGGTTCCTTTTCGGTGGCTTCCTTCTATAAGAAACTCTTGTTACCCCCTACTTTTACTCACTCCCCAAGAACCATTGTAGCTCAAGTGTGGTCCTCCACCCCCCGCCAAAAAAGTGCAAGCCTTTAAGTGGATTGCATGCTCTGAAAACGCCCTCACTATGGATCAACTCCAACGGAGGGGAGTTCCCATCCCCAACTGTTGTGTGATGTGCACTTGTGAGGAAGAAACGAACCCCCACCTTTTTATACATTGCATTCTTGCCCACAAGCTGTGGAGTCTTCTACTCCATTTCTTTAGCCTTTCCTAGGTCACTCCTCTCTCCCTACCGGCACTCCTAAACCTTTCAAGGGACACTCTATGGCCTACTGCCGACAGGCTTCTCTGAAAATCTTCCATGGAAGCCACGATCTGGATCATCTAGATGGAAAGAAACGCAAGGATCTTTCGAGAGACCAAAGCATGAAACTCCGGCCCTATTTCATAAGATCATCTCGAAGGTTGCCTTCTGGGCCTCTAACCACAAGTCCTTCAAAGGAGTCTCGGCCATTAACCTTCCTCCACCAATGAAAAGACACTCTCCATACCCAATCGCCTCAGGTCTTCAGATCTAGCAACTAGCTTCCACCCCCCCCACCCCCCTCGCAGTGGGCCTCACAAAGCTTAACTTCGACGGGTGCTCCTTGGAAATCCCGACCCGCCAGGAGTGGGTGGAGTCTTCCGCGATCACCAAGGCAACCTACTCGCTTCCTACTCCAAGAACATCGGCCACGCTGACTCTCAATGTGCAGAGTCATTGGCACTCCTCAAGCTATTCAGCCCCTCGTGGCCACAACCACTTATTGTGGAAGGAGATGTACAAAATATAATCTCTTGGGCTGCGCGAACTGTGAAACCCCCCCCCCCCCTTGTACTTGGCTTTGGCTTTGATTTTTTATGAGATTGCTCATATTTGCCATCTTATGCAAGCATACTTGGAGGGAGTCCAATGCCCTGGCGGATCAACTAGCTAAAGATGGAGCATCAACCACTAGCTCGGGTCTCTCATAGACCGTTTTTTGGGTTTCCTTTTCCTATGTTACATGTAAAGGACAGATGTTCTAGTCCTCTTTTGGCTCCTCACTTCTTCCACGTTGGGACTTTTTGTTTATAGACACGAAACATTTTTTGTATAGGGCTGCCCCTTCATGGTAGTCTATTCTTTTTGGCTTGAGGCCCGGCTTGTGGGAATCCTTTACTTACCATTGTACTCTTTTCCTTTTTAATACGACATTTAACAACTTCAAAAAAAAGAAATAACATGACACAATCTACCAGGCATAAGCCAGCACATTGCACAATAGCCCCAATTTACAGATGAGAATACCTAGCTCTAATGCTGTGTGACAATCCAAGTTTGAAGGGTATGACTGTGCTAATGTAGAGCATCAACATATATTATGTAATGAGTTGCTCACAAAAGAAGGGAAGGAATAGAGATAAAAGGGCAGATAAAAAAAAATTGGCAAAAATCGAGTTCTCCAAACCTAAGCTGAGAAGGATATGGGGGGCAAGATGGGTTGGACAGACCAAAGCCAGGCTAGTCAAAAGGTTTACCTTATTGGGCATCTTGGAATTTGTATAATCAAGGTTCTAAATAGTGGGGCCATTTATGGTTTGGCAGTAAATTTGAATAAAGTATTTTTGCTATAGGGATTTAACTGATGCCATCACTATGTCGCAATTCCCTAATTACAAATCAATAAATAAAGAAAAAAGAAAGATCATGGCACATTACCTCTGCCAGGAAGTCATTTCCTGAAGGGCTTTGCTCATCAAACACTTGAGTTTCACTAGTACCTGTAAATACCCTAAAACCAATTAAAGAGGAAGGAAACTCTCATAGTTTTGATTTGGCCAAAAAATGTAAATGTTTCAAGCAGTAAGAAATAGATCCGTAGTGAATTGACGTCTACTGCATATTTAATATAAGGATGCAGTTTCTATAAGGCCAAGGTCTTATGAAATAAAAAAAAAGTAAAGCCTCACCCAAAAACCTTGTCCGGAAAACACTTCGGGCATGGGAAATCTCTATGATGGCTCTAAAATTAATTTCCACTACCAATTATGATATCTGTAGCTCAAAAAATAGAACAGATCTTGTGGATCCATGAACACATGAAGATAGACGGTATAGATAATGTGTTGTAATGTACCCTATTTTTCACATCCTAATTTATTTTCACAACCATAATATTCATGATCAAAATAATCGATTTGAAGGTTTTCCATCCCCAGAACTGCAATTTTGCCCTAAGTTTTGCTGTGAGACTTTATTTATTTTCATAGGGCCGCAGCCTTCTGAAAACATTTTCCTTAACATAAAAATGTTGCATCCTGGACTTCAAGCTTCATTAATAACAAGGAAGTGGAAGCTGCCAAAAAGATGTGGAAGATGCCATCATGCATTTTTGTTCTCTTTCCTTCCGATCTCCCACATATGGACCCAATTATCTTATGAACCAAAGTATTTACAGTGAAATGCCACAAGAAAGGAGTGGACTGGTTCTAATGCCATAGCAAATGATGCTCATGCTCCTCAAGAGAACATATAGAGGGAAGGCCAGATTCTCAATGAAGACATAATAACTTGGATTAAATATGATTTTAGCGAGGGAGAGAGAGAAATCAGGGTCAGAAGAGGAAAATTTTCAATTGTAGCACCTACTTCATTCACATCTATAATTCACGAAGACCATACTTGAGTAATTGAGATGTATATAATTCTAACTTTTGGAAAAACATATCGATTTATCTGGGGAAATTACTTCAACAATGACTGGATCAAACTGTTGTCATAAACCTAGTAATGGATATTAAAAAATCAGAATCACATAAATGGATTATATATCAAATGCATAGACACAACTGCTGTAAGAAGCGTACCATAATAACCTACAGCTGTTGCACTGACCAAAACTTTAGGCTGAACATCTGGGCTTAAGCAATTGATCACATCCACCACCTTGTCAAAATCAATTCCAGTAACCAATGTCATAATCCAATTAGAAAACTTGAATAAAGAAAAATGCAGAGTCCTATGTTTCACACACCAAACTTTGTTTTTAATTTGCATGATCGAAAGCTTCAAGTATTTTGGGACATATTGCTTGAGGAAATAATATATCTAGAGGATCAAGGCATCACCTTTGTGGTGGTATTGACCCTACTTCGCTTGATCTCCTTCTTGATCTGCAATGAAAGAACAATAGAACTTTTGAATCTCATCATCTTTGAAAGGCACACAACTATCTGAAAGACTCGATGTATGGAGCACAACATAAAGTAAGTGAACAGAAAACTGATCACCAATGAGTTAATAGAACACAAACATGGAAAACCTTTGCATGCAATATTCTTAAAGCCGGCTTGCAGTGAAAGTTCCACCTTTGAAATTATTAGTATTCTCTTATAAAAGGAATGTTAGGGAGCACAAAAGGAAAGCTAGGTCCAAAGAGATGCCACCCACATTTTCAATTTGGTGCCTATGATACATGCTAAATTGCACTAGGGCATCTGCAGGCTGCATGATAAAATGAGAATGCACAACTAAGAAGAAGGAAAAAGAAAACAAAAAGGACTATCGGTCTGGACCCAGTTTTCTCATTTGACAAGATTCATTCAATAAAAGCAGGCAACATCATAAAGTCGAAACTACATCAGTAATCCATCTCACGGCGCCAAAGTCCATGGACCTAAACCCAACGAAAGTTGCAAACAAAACAAACATTCCACCAATAATCCATCTCATGGTTGCAAGAAATTCCAGAAACCTAACTCCTCCCTCCCAAATGAACAATATTTATTATAGACTAGCCAACCAAGCTTTCATGGACACAATAGTCCAACTGGTTGAGGACAATATTTATCATAATGGCATTCACAAGTGCAACACCAGGAAGACATTCTACATACACATTATTTTCAAGTTTGAAAAACACATAATTTAGAGAAAAACATATATCAAGGAAAATATGTAGAACATGTTCATAATGAACGCATTCACCAAAACAGAATATCCATCACTAACCTCAGCAGACCATCTGGTACTAATAGGCAACCCAGCTAAGTTCACAACAGCACTTGAAGCTTCAATACATTTTGGCCATTCTGGTTCCTCCACGATTATAATACCTGGAAATTCCTTGGCTGCACAAGATCCACCAATGTAGTTACAACACAAAAGTGTGTGCATGGATACTTAGAACAGCTGGTACAATGATATAAATGATTTCATACACTTAATATAATGCCAATCAAATAGGAGCTACATATTTCAATTAGAAATAAATGAACATGAACAATATTCTACACATCCATCCAAATGGGTAAACAACAAGGCCGACTATACCAGATTCAAAAAAGAACAAGGCTGACTATCCCAATTTTTAACTTCAAAAAAAAGTTAAAGTGATATAGAACAAATTATGATCAAGCTAAAAAACCTTCACAAAAATGTCAACTAATATACAATAAGGGTGTGTTTGTATTTCTCTTCAAACCATGGTTCAAAGCATTTTGGCAATTGGGCATTTTCTTAAAAAAAGCTAAATAGTTAGTCATCACAAATGAATGGACGACCAGATCTTTCATTTGCAAACTCACTGGTTCGTCAATGCTCCAAGTCCAATGCTCTCAACAGAACCCTACCCCAGACGTCCCCCCCCCTCCCTCTCTCCTACAAAGAGTCTCTGCTTCACCCTTTGCCCATACTTTTTCTCTCCTCAATCCTTACGGTCTTCTCATCCAGGGAAGAAGCCCTGGGGTTTCAGAGGCCACAGCTCTCTTGCCCTGATTCTATGATACTCTCTCGCCCTTAAAATTTTGCAGCCAGTTTTCCGGCCACAGAAGCTTCACCAGAGGACAATGGAACCCCAAGTCATGGGAGCTTGCTGAACTCTTTGAACTCTCATGTGCCAGAAAATAATATGGATTTCATTTCAGGGAAGACCAAAACTTGAAAACTTTGATCCATGGAGAACAAGCCCTAAACGCTTCGATCCATGGAAGCAATGAATGCCTGGAAATTCCAGAAAGCTTGAATGGCATGAGTTAGTGTTTCAGCTCAGTTGAAGAGAAAATGCAGTGTAGAAAGTTAACACTTTCAAAAAACAAAAAAAATGAATTATATCTCGATAGCCAAGAGAGCAGGAAACATGGATCAAAGAAAGGGGGTGCGCTCAAACCATGAAGAAATGGAAGGAAGGGGAAGCCCTTCCCCATTGATGAGAGCAGATCAATTACCAGTGGAAGGGGCTGGGAAATCAATTTCAGGGAGAGTTATGGATCGTGTTCAGAGGCCTGAAATGAAGAGAGGTGAAACTTCTGGCAAGAATTCACAAAGACTAATTGCAGAATTCTGTCTAGAGAGAGAGAAAGACAAAGCTTTGGACGAAGAAGCAACAAAGAAGAGTTGGAATTAATCATTGGAGAAGTCTCATGCTCCTTTAGAGTGTTTTATCTTCCTAAATTCTTGTGTAAGTATGGTTTCATGAGGCAAATGAAATATTGCATTTTTATAGCTAAAGAATTTGGACATCGCAAGGGAACAGTGCAAATGGTGAGGGAGAGAGATGGTGAACTGCTTAAGAGAAGGGCAGGCCCAAGTGGAAAGACTGAACAAGATAGGATAAACACAAAGAAGTTTAGCTCAAATAAATTAAAAAGGGCATCCTTGGTTTGGTCCAACCCATTAATATGCTTAATTTAGGGCTGAAATTTCATCAAAAAATCCACAAATTTTGCATATTTAAATGGAAATTGGTCATAATTTTGAATCTCAAATTCCAGATGAAGTTCAGGCTGAAATTTAATATCGTAGTTAGTGGAATCCTTGAAGTTTAAAGGCAACAAATAGAGTTTCTATATTAAACAAAGATATTTTTTCTCACAACCAGATCAAAGGAAAGCTTTTCTTTGGTACACACCACAATATATAATCACCTTGTTATTGATGAAGGAAGAATATCCACTAGCAGTTGGAAATTGCAGAAGTAAATAGATACCCCCGTCCCCCCCCCCCTCCCCTCCCCTCCCTTCCCTTTTTGTTGGTGAGTTTCTCTTCTCTGTTCTGTTTTTTGATCGAGTTGGTTGGAAAGATGGGTCTCTCTGTCCTTTTTTCCCTTTTCTTTTTTTGTGTGGGGGGGGGGGGGAGGATCTTCCTTCTGTGCTTTCTGATTCTGAATTGCTTGTGCAGAAATGTACTAGTCCTAGTCCACTACACTTAAAAGGCAGCCAAACTACCCCCAACCACGAAATGATTGAAATTCGGATTCAATTTGTGAAAATCCAACAAATGGACATCTATGTTTTGAAAAACATGCATTTATATTTTCATTTTGAACCAAACAAGGGGTAGATTTCAATCAAATGCAAGAACAAGGTGCAACAACTTATTATTAATAGAATAGTTAACATATTAAAAAAAAACAAAAAAAACAAAAAAATAAGGTGCAACAACTAAATTCGCATGACGAAGTCAATTAATCATTAAAACTGAAAAGATACCAATGTGTGATTAAATAGCCTAGTACGACTAAAGCATCAAAGAATCTTATCAAGGATACATGTGCTTGTATGGAGGTTGTCCTCATCGTTTTCCAATAATTTGGGGAAGCGTTGAAGATAAGAATCTCATAACTTACCTCCAAATTTTAAAATGACATTTCATACAAGATTTCTACAAGGGAGCGCTAGCTAGTATACAAATAACTAGTGGAGATTTGAGTGAGTTTTCAGTGATAAAAGGTCTACATCAGGGGCCAGTATTGAGCCCATACCTCTTTGTCTTAGTTATGAATGACTTAACTAAGTGCCTACAAGATGAGGTACCGTGGTGCATATTGTTCACGAATAACATAGTTTTGATTGATGAGACTCAAAACGGTGTCAACACAAAGTTAAAACTTTGGTGGGATGCTCTGAAAGCTAAAGGTTTTAAAATTAGTCAGACTAAAAGTATATGGAATGCAAGTTTTGTAATAATTAGGAGTAGAAATAAGGAAATAGTTACGATTAACGGCCAAAAATATCAAAAAGAGTGCACTTTCATTATCTTGGGTCAATAATCCAGGAAAACGAAGAGATTTAGGAAGACATTGCACATAGAATTAGAGCTGGGTAAGCGAAATGGACATGTGCAACCGGAGTTTTATGTGATCACCCATACTAATGAAACCGAGGTGCAAGTTCTATAGGACAGCTGTAAGACAAGCTTTGCTTTATGGGGCAGATTGTTAGGTCATCAAGAAAGAATGTACCCACAGAACGAGTGTAGCTGAGATGAGGATGTCAAGACAAGAAGGGATAGAATTCAAAATGAACACATGAGGGAGAATTTAGGTATAGCACCAATAAGCGATAAGATGAGAAAAACTAGACTTAGGTAGGCTAGCGGTGTGAGGCGCAAACCCTATACAATACATGTTAGGAGGTGCGAGTTAGTTCAAGTGGAAGGCTCAAAAAAGGCACGAGATAGGCCCAAAAGGACATGGTTGGAAGTAGTGAGAAAATATATGGAGACTTATGGCCTCATTGAAGGTATGCCCCTTAATAGAGCAGAATGGCGGACCAGAATTCATGTAGCCCCCAACTAGTTAAGAAAAGGCTCTAACGATGATGATGATGATTCCATACAAAATTTTAGATTCATATTCCACCCAAGATTTTTAGAATATTATTCTTAAGGTAATCCCTCAAACTTTTAATGCTTCCAATTATCAGTTTGCTATGGTATGTTGCGCCACAATAAAAACAACACTATTGGTTATTTCTCAAATACAACCATCCAATAATCATGCCCAACCAAATCTTATTTCCGAACAAGATGCCTCTTATTTTCTAACTTTTCTATTAAATTTTAGGGATGTATTTTTTGAGTTTTTAGGGTTTAGTTTTAGAATATTTAAGTTTTTTAAGTGATTTTAGGGTTTGCCTTTGCTTTTTGATGATTTTTTGGGGATTTTGGAAAAGTAGTTAGAGTCCATATTGTATTTATTTATTTTATCAGCGATCAAAATAGATTATAATATGTTTTTTAATTATAACTTCTATTTCAGTAAAATTCGATATTTCTTGGGTTCTAAGTAACGTCTTCATTATATATAGGGAATATTCTTTTAGAGTTGAATGTTATTTTGTTTTGCATCCTAATTTCATTAGAGAGACGGAAGCTTGGCTTGTAAGCTTCCCTTTGTTTTAATCAATTCTTCAGATCTTTTATTCCTTTATTTCTATAATTTCTCCACTACATTGGTTGGTATCGAAGAGGCCCATTCCCAAAGTGCACGAGGATGCCCTTCAAGTTTACACGATGGCTGTTAGAGGAGGTCGGGTTTGTAATCGTAGCAGTGACATAGTCATATGGGATGAATTCAATGATCGGAAAAGGAGAATTGAAGAAATGGTGTGTGCAATATGCCAAAACGCATTTGAATTGGACGAGGCTCAAGCAGATGATGTACAAGATGCATCCAATCCGCACTGAACAATGTTCAAGCATTCATGACAATAGCAAATCTGCACCCAATTGCAGTGATGGATAGGTCAAGTCAGTGGATTCTAATTCACCTCACCACCAAAGGACAGATAGTCTCATTGTGCATGAGGATAATTTGGTTCGTGATATCAGAGGGAAAGACCATGGAGAAACTTTATTCTCGTCAAACCATCTCCAAAATTAGTAGGTTGTAGATTGGAACTCGCCAGCAATCTTCAACACGTGCTCACATGAGGATCTTGATTTTGTGAGAAGTACACGCGATGGTGATGATGGCAGCGAGGAGTGAAAGGCAGGCTATAGATTATGTCAAGTGAGGTAGATTTTGAAATATGTCAAGTGTGGTAGATTTTAAAATTGGGAAAATAGTCGAGGCTCTAAACAATCAAATTAGAGCCTACCTCAAAAATTTAACTAGAAGATGTTGTTTTGATGCCCAAATATCCTCAAATTGATCATCTCGACATCAAGATGCATGGACATGAGAAAAATGGATTTCAAGGTTTGGAAATAGTGAAATTTGTAACACAGTTTTGGACCGTCAATTTTCAAGATTTTCAAGTTTTCATAGATCAGTCGATCTACATTATTTTTTAAGCTTAAAACTTTATAAATAAAGATGAAAATATATTTTAAATCTATTATAGAGATT